AAAAATACAAAAATTAGCTGGGCATGGTGGCATGTGCCTGTAATCCCAGCTACTCGGGAGGCTAAGGCAGAAGAATTGCTTGAACCAGGGAGTTGGAGGTTACAATGAGCCAAGATTGCATCACTGCACTCCAGCCTGGTGACAGAGTGAGTCTCTGCCTCAAATAAATAAATAAAATTAGTGGGTGTGGTGGTATGCACCTATAGTCCCAGCTACTCAGGAGGTGAGGTGGGAGGATCGCTTGAGCCTCAGAGTTTGAGGTTACAGTGAGATATGATCATACCACTGCACTCCAGCCTGGGTGACAGAGTGATATTCTTTCTTGAAAATAAATAAATTATAAAGGATTTGTCATGAAAGGGAATAGGCTGGGCATGGTGGCTCACACCTGTAATTCTAGTGCTTTGGGAAGCTGAGGTGGGTGGATCACCTGAGGTTGGGGGTTCAAGACCAGCCTGGCCAACATTGTGAAATCCCACCTCTAGTAAAATATAAAAAAATTGGCCAGGCGCAGTGGTTTATGCCTGTAATCCCAGCACTTTGGGAGGCCGAGGTGGGTGGATCATGTGAGGTTGGGAGTTCAAGACCAGCCTGATCAACATGGAGAAACCCTATCTCTAGTAAAAATACAAAATTAGCCAGGTGTGGTGGTGCATGCCTGTAATTCCAGCTACTTGGGAGGCTGAGGCAGGAGAATCGCTTGAACCCAGGAGGTGGAGGTTGCAGTGAGCCGAGATCGTGCCATTTCACTCCAGCCTGGGCAACAAGAGTGAAACTGCATCTCAAAAAAAAATTAAATAAATAAATAATAAAAAACATTAGCCAGGTGTGGTCGCAGGTACCTGTAATCCCCCCCTTAAATGTAAGACATTATTTATTGACTTGCCAATAAGAAAGATCAAGATTTAATTAGCTCACATTTTTTGTCTTCTCTACATATCCTTGGCATTTTTGCTAGTCAGTAGTTTTTTGTTTTGTTTTGTTTTGAGATGGAGTCTCGCTCTGTTGCCAGGCTGGAGTGCAGTGGCACGATCTTGGCTCACTGCAACCTCTGCCTCCTGGGTTCAAGCAATTATCCTGCCTCAGCCTCTTGAGTAGCTGGGATTACAGGTGTGTGCCACCATGCCCAGCTAAGTTTTCTATTTTTGGTAAGACAGGGTTTCACCATGTTGGCTAGGATGGTCTCAATCTCTTGACCTAGTGATCTGCCCACCTTGGCCTCCCAAAGTGCTGGGATTACAGGCGTGAGCCACTGCGCCGGGCAATATTTTATTTTTTAACCTTTAAATAATATACTTAAAACTGGTATTTCTTGTTCCCTCATCTTGAAGCCATGTCTCCTGAGTTCCTACGTGGTTAACAGCACCCCAACTCTTCCTTTCTCCTGTCTTCCCTACTTCTACTTCTCAAGGTCAGTCAGCTGTACTTTAATTTTACATTGTGAAAGTTGTTAATATTTATAGTCTCTTCTGTAGCTATATTTACATCTTTGTGATTTGACTCTAGGTTGGTTCTAAAAATTGAAACAAAAACTAGCATTTACATGACAGTGACTTCAGTCTGTCTCCTTTCCTCCTTTGTCTTTCCCTGAATTTGAATCTCTAAATCTGTGGCATGAATTCCAGAGTCGGTGGGATGAGTAAACCAACAAGGTAACAAAAGCGTAAGTAAGAGCAGTATCAATCAGAGGCAGCCATGCTGAGTTGGAAGTCTCCCAGCAGGTCAGTGCTAGAGGGGACCAGTAGTACCTTTTGTGCAGGAGGTGGTATTTCAGATATGCTGTGAAGGGTGAGAGTTAGATTTTGAAAGGACCAGGATTAGCAAAACATGCGGGTTGGAGAGTATAGAGATTGCTCAGCGTACAGTAGCCAGTTGACCACTAGATAACGTGAAGGGGTGTTGTCTGGAGAAGCAGGAAAGCTGTTAGGTTAGAATTGTGGCGAGATGGATAGGGGACAGGTTATTAAGTTTTGGATTATTTACCTTTTTTTTTTGAGATGGAGTCTCACTCTGTCACCCAGACTGGAGTGCGGTGGCATGATCTCAGCTCACTGCAACCTCTGCCTCCTGGGGTCAAGCAATTCTCCTGCCTCAGCCTCCCAAGTAGCTTGGACAACAGGCACCCACCACCATGCCTGGCTAATTTTTGTATTTTTAGTAGAGATGGGGTTTTACCATATTGTCCAGGCTAGTCTCGAACTTCTGACCTTGTGATCTGCCCACTTTGGCCTCTCAAAGTGCTGGGATTATAGGCGCGAGCCACCGTACTTGGCCAAGGATGAATTTACTTTTGACTTTAACTTCCCAGAATGTTTACTGAGGTGGTCATTCTGGGGTGAGGTGGTTTAGAGGGTCTTTGGAAAGCACAACTAGAAGGAAGAATGAAGAGTGAGAGCTGCTAAAACAAATTTAAAGAGGTTGAGTGCAGTGGCTCACACTTGTAATCCCAGCACTTTGGGAGGCTGAGGCAGAAGGATTGCTTGAGCTCAGGAGTTTGAGACTAGCCTGGATAACCTGATGAAATGCTGTCTCTACAAAAATTATCTGGTGTAGTGGTGTATACCTGTAGTCCTAGCTACTTGAGAGACTGAGGTAGGAAGATTGCTTGAGCTCAGGAGGTTGAGATGCAATGAGCTGTGTTTGTGCCACTGTACTCCAGCCTGGGCACCCTGTTTCAATAATAATAATAATAATTTAAAGGTGGTGGAACTAGGGCTTGATAATTGTATGGGATCATCAAACTTGAAGCTTCCAGAGATGAAGAAGGAAAGGAGAAATCAAGCCTTAACCATATGCAATTGACTGAGAACCTATCAGAAGGCCCAATAGATTGCTCTCAGTACTCAACAAAGGCCCAGGGATGAGGGTTAATAGGTTTTTTCCTAGCTACTCTACTGTGTTATGAAGTGTTCCCCAGTATTAACATCTACCAAGAACCTGTGAATGCACCTTATTTGGAAATAGGGCCTTTGTACATCAAATCTAGTTAAAGTCATACGGCCCAGGCTGTAAATCCAATGACTTGTCTCTGTGTAAGGAGAGTTGGGTTTGGACATACAGCCACAATCAGACATGCAGAGAGGGAAGGTGGCCATGTGAAGACAGGCAGAGATTAGAGTGATGCAGCTGCAAGCCAGTGAATGCCAAGGACTATAGCCACCACCGAAGCTAAGAGGCAAGGAAGGATTCTTTTCAAGACCCGTTGTAGGTGTGTCCAAACTTTTGGCTTCCCTGGGCCACACTGGAAGAAGAATTGTTTTGGGCCACACATAAAATATGCTAACACTAACGATAGCTGATAAGCTAAAAAAATGTCCATGCATAAATCTTATAATGTTTTATGAAATTTTACAAATTTGTGTTGGTCTGCTTTCAAAGTTGTCCTGGGCTGCATGTGGCCTGTGGACTGTGGGTGGGACAAGCTTGCTTTAGAGAGGACATGGCCATGATGACACCTCGATTTCAGATTTCTAGCCTCCAGAACTGTGAGCGGATAAACTTCTGTTGTTTTAAGCCACCCAGTTTATGGTAATTTATTATAGCAGCCCTATGAAACCAATACCATGTTAAATAGTCATTCATTCATTTGACATCTGTTCTGTTAATCATCAATTTACAATGCATCTGTCTCTGTTTAAGTAAAGTGAAAAGATGGAACTGGTCCCTTGCCTCTTGGTACCTCATAATTAAACAAGTCGATGACTCTTGCCTCTTCTAAGTCTATAGAATCTGAGGGTTCCATTGGACTGTAAGTGTTACCTGCCCACATTTCCCCACGATGATAATGATTGAATCTCCAAAAGTACTTTTCTAGTCTCTGCATGTAATCTCATCGAATGGGGAACTCACTTCTCCCAAGTTGGTCCCCTATACTTCTATAGACTTTGACTCCTAGAAAGTTCTCAGGCTGGGCACAGTTGTTCATGCCTGTAATCCCAGCACTTTGGGATGCCATAGTGGGTGGATAACTGGAGGTCAGGAGTTTGAGACCAGTCTGGCCAACATGGTGAAACCCCATCTCTACTAAAAATACAAAAATTAGTTGGGTTTGGTGGCATGCTTATAGTACCAGCTACTTGGGTGGCTGAGGCAGGAGAATTGCTTGAATCTGGGAGGCAGAGGTTGCAGGGAGTTGAGATCATACCAGTGCACTCCAGCCTGGGTGACAGAGACTCCGTCTCTGGGTCCTAGTTATAATTACCTATTGATCTTGGTTGTCCTCACTGAGGTAGCAGAAAATTAGATCCCTCTTCCCCAGGAGAGGTCATTACTTATTGGAAAACATTGGCTGTTACTCTCTTGATGCACCTTCAATTCTAGGTGCTTCTTTCACCAGCAGGCTCTCTGCAGAAAACCTTGTATCCTTAATAATAATAGACACAGCTGACATTTATAAGGAAATGTATTAAGCATCATGCTAAGTGCTTTCTGTGCATTATCTAATTTGATCCCCATAATAAATGTATGAGGAGAGTATTATTAAGCCTCATTTAATAGATGAGAAAATTGATGGTTAGAGAGGGCCAGGAATGTGCACAAAGTTATGCAGCTAGATAAGTGCTGGTGTAAGGATTTTTTTTTTTTTTTTTTGAGACAAGGTCTTGTTCTGTCTCCCAGGCCGGAGTGCGGTAGTGTGATCACGGCTCACTGCAGCCTCTACCTTCTCGGGCTCAGGTGATCCTCCCATCTCTGCCTCTTGAGTAACTGAGACCACAGATGTATGCCATCACACTCGCCTAATTTTTTGTAGAGACTGGGTTTCACCATGTTGCCCAGGCTTCTCTCCATCTGCTGGGCTTAAGACATCTACTAACCTCAGCTTCCCAAAGTGCTGGGATTATAGGTGTGAGCCACCATGCCTAGCCTGGAGTAAGGATTTTTATCAAATTAGATTCCATGTTCTGATCCAACCACACTGCCTCTCATTGCCTGAGAGCCTGGGGGTATCTTGGGAATACCCTTGCCTTACCATGAGCCTGCTTTTCTCTTTCTGGATGCAGGAAGGACCATCAGAGTGCTCCACCTGTGCGGTACGGGGAACTGCAGGCGTTACTAGAAGCTATGCTAAACCGGTGTGCGGAGTTTTCCCAGACCTGTCTGAACAGGAGACCCCTGGTCAGTGTACTGTAGACTGCTTCTTTTGGAGATCATGCTGTAATGTGTTTTTAGAAAGATAATTAGTATATTGCCTTACATTTGTTTGCCATTTCATAGCTTTTTCTCATGCACACATGGCTATAATCAGTTGCTATTTTTTCCCTAATAGCAGAACTTTGAGGCTTAAGGATTACTATTCCCATTTTTACAGATGGGGAAACTAAAGTCACGAGGGTTAAATAATTTGTCTCTAAGGTCCAAAACTAGAAAGTACCTAAGCCTAGGGCTGGGTGTGGTGGCTCACACACCTGTAATCCCAGCACTTTGGGAGGCCAAGGTGGTCAGATCACCTGAGGTCAGGAGTTTGAAACCAGCCTGACTAACATGGAGAAACCCTGTCTCTACTAAAAGTATAAAATCAGTCAGGCATGGTGGCACATGCCTGTAATCCCAGCTACTTGGGAGGCTGAAGCAAGAGAATCACTTGAACCCAGGAGGCGGAGGTTGTGGTGAGCCAAGATTGCGCCATTGCACTCCAGCCTGGGCAACAAAAGTGAAACTCTGTCTCCAAAAAAAAAAAGTTATTACCTAAGCCTAGATAGTAAATTCCAGGGTGTTTTTATCCCATTCTATTATACACATTGTCTCTTTATATCATATAAGCAGATAGGGTAAACATGTTCATAGAATTATTTAAGTCTGGATTCACTAGAATTTTAGAATCTGACAAATATGCAATGTATTGTGGTTGCTGGCTTTTAAATAGCCTGTAGACTCAAGATATCAGAAAAGGCACTGTCAGTGTGAATGTTGATTATGTTTTTCAGGATTAACTTTAGAAACTAAGCTCTTTACACCTGATGGAGTGGGGATTTTCTTGTGTTTTAGAACAACTAATAGGGCCATTACAGTCAAGCTAATGCCCACTAGCCTGTGACAGCTTTCTGCATATAATAGACCAAGAGCCAGTCCTGTGGTTCAGAGAGACTGTTGGTTAAGGTCTCTCCAACACTGCTACCATTTTGTTTTTTTTGAGACGGCGTCTCACTCTGTTGCCTAGGCTGGAGTGCAGAGACAAAGTCTCACTCTGTTGCCTAGGCTGGAGTGCAGAGGCTCAATCTTGGCTCATTGCAACCTCTGCCTCCTGGGTTCCAGTGATTCTTCTGCCTCAGCTTCCTGAGTAGCTGGGATTACAGGCATGCACCACCACACCTGGCTAATTTTTTTAGTAGAAATGAGGTTTCACAATATTGGTCTCAAACTCCTGACCTCAGGTGACCCACCCACCTTGGCTTCCTAAAGTTTTGGGATTACAGGCATGAGCCACTGCACCCAGCCCTGCTACCTTTTTTTTTTTTTTTTTTTTTTTCTGAGATGGAGTCTTGCTCTTGTTACCCAGACTAGAGTGCAGTGGCGTGATCTTGGCTCACTGCAGCCTCCGCCTCCGGGGTTTAAGCAGTTCTCCTGCTTCACTCTTCCCAGTAGCTGTGATTACAGGTGTGAGCCACCACACTTGGCTATTTTTTTTTTTTTTTTGAAACACTGCAGTGGCAGGGTTTCACCATGTTGACCAGGCTGGTCTCAAACTCCTGACCTCATGATCCTGCCACCTCAGCCTCCCAAAGTGGGTTCCCCTGAGCCATGTGCAGGGATTACAGGTGTGAGCCACTGCACCCAGCCCCTGCTACCATTTTTGAAAGGAGCTATTAATTTTGTAAGGATATAGCCAAGATCTCCTGGAAAGTTAGGTGTACAGGAATGTCTGACTGCAGTGTGAGAAAAAGAGGTCTACAGTCATCCAAGCATGGACTGAGACACATGGCATATACTTGATCACTAGGTTCCTGTCTCTCCTTCCCACCTCAGGGCCATACCTCCAGTAGAGATTCACAGAAGGCCATTCTTCAAAGGGGAAAGTTCCTCCTGAGCACTCTGGAGGGATTTAGAAGTGCCTGCAGGTGAGGGGCCCTCTGTGGATGAAATAATAGAATGGAAGGTATGGGTGGAAGGGATTTAGACAAGAGTGAAGTTCTAGAGGCAGCACTTGATTTCTGATACTCTTCTGCATGGCAAAGAGGACTTTGGCTGGGGTAGGGTTTGGGGGTGTGTGGAGGAGGCTTGAGGACAGGTAGCTAGGGGTAGGACCTTTCTAAAGATGATCACCTTGTGGAGTTTTTGCTACTGTGCCATGAGGTTGTGTCTTATTTACCTTTATTCCCCACCACCCCGCAACTAGCTTAGCACTATAGGTATTCAACTGAATGGTTTTTGAATTAATTCAGTTTACATTAACAAATGTTTCTTCTACTATGTGCCGTACCTTCAACTGTGATGAAGGAGCTCACAGTTTCTTGGGGAAGAGATGCTTTTTTGTTATATGTGGGGTTTGTTAGGTTTTTAAGAATCTGGGGAAGGTATTCTAGATGGAGAGAGCAGCATATTTAAAGGCAAAGAGATGAAAAATAGCAAATAGCATGGCATATTCAGATAAGTACATACAATGGGGTGGAAGTACACATATAGTTGAGGGAAGGGATGGGGAACAAGAATCTGGAAGGATCAAGTCCTCTCCTCATTGTGGTCTCTTGAATTTTCTCCTGATCCAATAATAGAGATACTTTCCCTGGACCCTGAGCACAGATACTCCCTGCCACCGCCTAGGAGGGTGTTTGTAATCTTTAGATTGCATAGGTGGTAGTGGATATACTCACACATTGATTTCTTAGGTTGGCTATAGAATTCCAGAGTGAGCCTTCAGCCCAGGAGAATCCATTCACAGCTCCCAGCGCCGAGAAGAAAGACACCTTGGAGGCCTTCTCAGAATTTCTTCTCAGTGCCTGTGACTCGATGTGCATCCCCATGGTGATGGTGGGTTCCCCTGAGCCATGTGCAGCATGAAGCTTAGGGAAGAGAGGAATGTGCAGGCGAGCCAGGCTCAGAGGCATGAGGCAGTAACTGCTTAAAGGAACCCTCTGCGGGCCTCAGCAGTGCTATTCTTGCAGCCACCTTTCCTTTGTCTAAAAATAAAATTTAGTGTTTCATTATGAAACTAACAAGTACGTCTTAAGAAAAAATAAGCCGGGTGTGGTGGCTAACACCTGTAATCCCAGCACTTTGGGAGGCCGAGGCAGGTGGATCATGAGGTCAGGGGTTTGAGACCAGCCTGACGAACATGGTGAAACCCAGTCTCTACTAAAAATACAAAAATTAGTCAGGCATGTGGTGCACACCTGTAATTCCAGCTACTTGGGAGGCTCAGGCAGGAGAATTGCTTGAACCCGGGAGGCGGAGGTTGCAGTTAGCTGACAGCTTGCCATTGCACTCCAGCCTGGGCGACAGAGGTAGACTCTGTCTCAAAAAAAAAAAAAGAAAAAAAATAGAAAGCAGTAATAATAAAATAATAAATGGATAAATTTATGGAGTAATTAGTGCCTTATATTCACTACCTGATTTAGTTCTCTCAATGATCCTAGGAGATGGATGCTATAATTTTCTCTAATTTACTGATAAGGTTGTCATATTTTTATAGTTATAAAGCAAGTGCATAATGGTGCTGAGATTGAACCTATGACTTCAGGTTCCCTAGCTTTTCTCGTATCTTTCTTTTCATAAGGAGCAGCAGTGAATGTCTGTTACTCAAGTGTTAATAAGGAACCCGTATGTGTGTTCTGTAAAATGAGAGATGACCACTCTGAAGAGAGGCTTGGTCCTGAAGAGCTTCATTTTGAGCCAACTTGAGGTTGAGATGTTGGGAAGAGCAGGGCCAAGAGCTGCTGACTCTGGGTAACCTTGGGTGAGTCCTCTTCTGCATGAGGTTTGGGCATCCTATGAGCCTGTGAGGAGTCCCCTGTTAATCAGAAAAGGGTCTACTGGGAACAGTAGGTGGCAGCAGGGAGGCATCTCTGGCTCTGCATGAACAAGCCTCTCTTCCTTGAAGAAGCCATTGAGCTGGAGTCTGCAGGAGGTAGTGGTCAGGAACACTGACTGTGGCCCTGACTTAACCTACCAATGGTAAGACTTGGGCGATTCATGGTAGTTTACTCACCTGCTCTGCCTTCCTTCTAGATTTTTGAAGTGTTAAAGCTAAATCTAAAATTAGATCATAGAATTATTGTATTATTCCTTCTTTCTACTTCTCTGTATTTTACACATTTTCTTTAATGAGCATATATTACTTTTATAATAATAATAGAAAAACACGCACAACCAAACTTGCTCTAAAAATGAAAGGAAAGGTATCAACAAGAACAATGCCTCTGAGGACCCAGCTGTTTACAGAAAGGGAACTGAGACCCAGGGAAAGGAGAAGGTGACTACCCAAGGGTACATTGTGGTGGCTATGTGCAGAGCCTGAAGTAGAACCCTGTTTCTTTTTTCTTAATTTAGAGCTGTGGCTACCACATCAAACTGCCTCATTACCCTGTTGAAGAATTACATGAAGCCTGGTCTGAATGCAATGATTTACAACTAATTGATCACAACAAGTTACAGATTTCTTTTTTATTCTCCACTGCCCCTGCTTTACTTGACCAACCTTAAAAATAATAACAGGCTGGGTGTGGTGGCTTATGCCTATAATTCCAGCGCTTTGGGAGGCCAAGGTGGCAGATCACTTGAGGTGAGGAGTTTGAGACCAGCCTGGCCAACATAGTGAAACACTGTCTCTACTAAAAAAAACAAAAAGTAGCTGGGTGTGGTGGCACATGCCTGTAATCCCAGCTGCTCAGGAGACTGAGGCAAGAGAATCACTTGAACCTGGGAGGCAGAGGTTTCAGTGAGCCAAGATTGCACCACTGCTCTCCTGCCTGGGCAACAGAGTGAGATTCTGTTTCAAAACAAAATAAAACACAACCCCCCCCCAAAAAAAATTAACAGATATGAAGGCAGTTTATAAACTGTATTATTATTACTGTAGTAATAGAAACATGAGAGTCATTCTGCTTTATGGTATAGAAAGCACTTTTTTTTTTTGAGATGGAGTCTCACTCTGTAGTGCAGGCTGGAGTGCAGTGGTACAATCTTAGCTCACTGTAGCCTCCACCTCCTGGGTCCCAGTTCAAGCAATTCTCCCGCCTCAGCTCCCCGAGCATCTGGGATTACAGGCATGTGCCACCACACCCATGCCATTGTATTTTCAGTAGAGACGGGGTTTTACCATGTTGACCAGGCTGGTCTTGAACTCCTGACCTCGTGATCCACCTGCCTCGGACTCCCAAAGTGCTGGGATTACAGGCGTGAGCCACTGCACCTGGCCAGAAAGCACCTTTTATGCACCAGACCACATTTGTTTCTGGGAGGTATATCTTGTTATTCCAATTTTATTCTTTTGGAAACAGAAGCCCAAAGAGATAACGTATCTGGTACAATCTATTAGGTGAGCCAAGCCTTAGATGTAGTTTTGTACTTTAAGTTCCCTAGCTTTTCTTGTGTCTTTCAAGTGAAAGGAGTTAAGCTACTGTGCTAGATTTGATGCTAGTTTTCATTGATGCCTTTTCTTCTTCAGAGGCTCAGTCCTGGTGGTCTATGTTCTCTCTCCTGGTTCTTTGCAGAGACACTTGGAGCAGACCACCCAGCCAGCTCTGATGGAAGTTTTCCTCTCAATTCTTCACAGCCTTTTTGTCATTGTTCCTCACATGAAGGAGAAGTTTTCCAAGAAGCTTGGTAGGCAGCAGGCAAATGTGGAAGTTGGGAGGGAAGCAAGCAAATTAGGCAGTGCTCACAGTATTCAAAGAGCATGAGTTGTGGGTGCAATTTACTAATTCATTCAGAATTTATATCCATACTCTGTTCAGTGTTAAGGGGAAGGAAATATCAGGCAGCAATTAAAAGGACTGGGCATGGTGGCTTATGTTTGTAATCCCAGCACTTTGGGAGACCAAGATGGGAGGATCACCTGAGGCTAGGAGTTTGAGACCAGCCTGGACAACACAGTGAGACCCCCATCTCTACAAAAAGATTAAAGAAAAATTAGATGGAAGTTGTTAATAATGTTAACTAGCATTTAATTAATCATAACTAACATTTAATTAAGTTCTTACAGTGTGTGAGACACAGTTTTAAGTGCTTTGCATGTACTGACTCATTTAGTCCTCAGAAAAACCCTAGGAATTGTCTATTATGATTAGACTCATTCTATTGATGAACAAACTGAATCTCAAAGAGGTTAAGTAACTTGCCCAAGGTTATACTGTAAGTGATATGCCCAGGATCAAACCCAGGGAATCTGGCTGTAGAACATGCTTTCTTAATCTCTGTGCTATACTTGGCTTTTATCATTATAATTTTATGTTTTTTTAATTCTTGTCACATGGCATGCAGCAAATGTGCAACAAGTCTACCATGGAGACGCAACCAGGGCTTAGTCATGTAGGCCCTTCTTGGCCATGTGAGGAATTTGGATTTTTTGTTTTGTTTTGTTTTTGAGATGGAATTTCGCTCTTGTTGCCCAGGCTGGAGTACAATGTGCATTCTCAGCTCACTGCAATCTCTGCCTTCCTGGTTGAAGCAATTCTCCTGCCTCAGCCTCTCAAGTAGCTGGGATTACAGGCATGTACTACCAAATCCAGCTAATTTTGTATTCTTACTAGAGATGGGGTTGCTCCATGTTGGCCAGACTGGTCTTGAGCTCCCAACCTCAGGTGATTCACCTGCCTTGGCCTCCCAAAGTGCTGGGATTACAGGCATGAGCCACCACGCCCAGCATTGAGATTGCACAAATTAATTTTCTTATCTCCAGTGTCCTTAGCTAGAACATGGTGATAATAGTGAGAATTAAACAAGATAGTGGATGTAGATTTTCTGAAAACTGTATACCTCAGCCATTGTTATAACTGATACACACTTTTTTCCTTCCTTCTAACATTCTTCCTGCCTGCCATACTTCAGGATCCAAGCGGATCTAGTCTTGGGGCACTGGATGACATGCAAGTGTAGATCTCTTGGGGGCAGTGGTGGGGAATAGAGATGTAGAAAAAGGCTATGAGATCTATAGGGAGATCTGTGCAGCATGAAGCCAGGTAGCACAGGATCAGGGGCTCAACCTACAAGAGGGAGGACAGAAGCAGGCACTGCCAGCCAGGAGTGGTATGGAGACCTAGAGTAGGAGGGTAGAGAGACTCTGGATCCCTGAGAAATTGGGCCAAGAGGAGCCCATCTGGAAGGAATTTAACCCATGATTTCCCCAGGGTGCCCTTTGTTTTTGAGATGGAATTTCGCTCTTGTTGCCCAGGCTGGAGTACAATGGTGCATTCTCAGCTCACTGCAACCTCTGCCTTCCTGGTTGAAGCAATTCTCCTGCCACAGCCTACCAAGTAGCTGGGATTACAGGCATGTACTACCAAATCCAGCTAATTTTGTATTCTTTACAAATTACAGCCCTTTCCCTGGGGAAATCATGGGTTAAATTGCTGTCCCAAAGTTGCTGTGAAACCCTGAGGGATTCCCTGTCAGGTGCTTTAGCCCAGGATGAAGTACAACTTATTTTCAACCCTGGAGCTAATGAAATGGGAGCTCCTGATATATTCTTTATCTAGGATTCTGCTTTTACAGTGACCCAGGGCAAACAGAACAGAGGTTAATATTGACTGAGAACCTTACTGGGGAGACTGGGAAGAGTCAGCAGCACAAGGGTCTGGGCCAGGGTCAACAGCTAAAGCAGAAACTGCTGGCTGGGCGCGGTTATAATCCCAGCACTTTGGGAGGCTGAGGCAGGCAGATCACCTGAGGTCAGGAGCTTGAGACCAGCCTGACCAACATGGAGAAACCCCGATTCTACTAAAAAATACAAAATTAGCCAGGTGTGGTGGCGCATGCCTGTAATCCCAGCTACTTTGGGAGGCTGAGGCAGGAGAATCACTTGAACCCGGAAGGCGGAGGTTGAGATGAGCTGAGATTGCACCATTGTACTCCAGCCTGGGCAACGAGAGCAAAACTCCATATCAAAAAAAAAAAAAGAAAAGAAAAGAAATGTTGTCAAACCCCTTTTCTGAGAATCAGTTGCTTTCAACAGGCAATTCATAGCTGAGAATAAAGTAGTGTCTACTCCTATTCTTTCTGTATCTGAAACTGGATTTGTTTTCCTTTTTTTTTTTTTTTTTAAATATTTAAACCTGAAGCAGATGCATGAAACTGGATTTTTTTTTTCCTACAAAAAGAAGGGTTAGAAGGAACATATGTGCCCTTCCTAGGTCCTTGTCAAATATACCAAATTGTAGTGGAGTATCATTCAGAATGGAAGAAAATGAACACTGATTGCAGCACTTACTTTGAGCCAAGTACTTGTTGGATGTCCTCCATACATTTATCTTACTTAGCTTTACAACAACCTGTGAGGTACAAGTATCAAAACTGAGTCTCAGAGAAGTTAAAAACCTTCCCAGACTGAAACTACTAGATAGTGACATAGCACATTTTGAAACAGGTCTGTGTAATTCTGAAACCAGAGCTTTTTGATACCACCCAGGCTTGGGACTCTGTGACAAGTCTGGTTTAAACTGTTCTCTGCTTTACCTGTTTATCCAAAGCTGCCTCATCCTTCATACGACTGACCCTGGAGCTGAAAGCCAGGTTTTGCAGTGGTCTGAGGTATGTATGGTCCCAGGCAAGACTGAGTGGCCAAGGAGCCAATGTCCTTCTTGACTGGATAAGTGGGAATTGTTGGCTGGTATGGTTTTAGTCATGGGATCATGGTGGTGTTGACAGTGTCAGCATTGCTCAGCAACTGGTGGGATGAGCTGGACATGTTTCTGTAGGTTGGATTGAATCTGACCTGGTAATGATCTCATTCCTGGTGATACTTGGTTGGGTACCTGTCACATCAAAACTGGGAGAGGCCTGGAACAGTGGCTCATGGCTGTAATCCCAGCACTTTGGGAGGCCAAAGTGGGAGGATTGTTTGAAGCCAGCAGTTCAAGGTCAACCTGGGCAGCATAGCAAGACCCTGGTCTCTATAATTTTTTTTTTTTTTTTGAGATGGAGTCTCTCTCTGTCACCCGGGCTGGAGTGCAGTGGTGCAATCTGGGCTGACTATAATCTCCACCTCCCAGGTTCAAGCAATTTTCCTGCCTCAGCTCTGCAGTACCTGGGATTACAGGTACCTGCCACCACGCCTGGTTAACTTTTGTATTTTTAGTAGAGGTGAGGTTTCACCACGTTGGGCAGGCTTGTCTCAAACTCTTGATCCAGGTGATCCATCCGCCTTGGCCTCCCAAAATCCTGGGATTACAGGCGTGAGGCACCACCCCAGCCAAAAAAATTATTTTTTTAATTAGCCAAACGTGATGGTACACACCTCTAATCCCAGATACTCAGGAGACTGAGGCAAGAGGATTCTTGAGCCTAGGAGGTCAAAGCTGCAGTGAGCTATGATCGTGCCCGTCTCTAGCCTGGGAAACAGTAAGACCTTATCTCTAAAAAAAAAAAGCCTGCCAAAACTGGAAGAGTTCTCTCAGAGGTTATTTGTTTAATCTCTCATTTAAACAAGGAACCTGGCCGGGTGCAGTGGCCTACACCTGTAATCCTTTTTTTTTTTTTTTTTTAAAAAAGACAGGGTTTCACCATGTTGGCTAGGCTGGTCTTGAACTCCTGACCTCAGGTGATCCACCCATCTCGGCCTCCCAAAGTGCTGAGATTACAGGCGTGAGCCATCATGCCCAGCCCACCTGTAATCCCAGCACTTTGGGAGGCTGAGGTAAGTGGATCACTTGAGATCAGGAGGTCAGACCAGCCTGACCAACATGGTGAAACCCCATCTCTACTAAAAATACAAAAATTAGCCAGGGGTGGTGGCATATACCTGTAATCCTAGGTACTTGGGAGGCTGAGGCAGGAGATCCCATGAACCCAGGAGGTGGAGATTGCAGTGAGCTGAGCTAGCACTTCTGCACTCCCAGCCTGGGTGGTAGAGTGAGAGATTCTGTCTGAAAAAGAAAAAATAAAACAGAATGAGGAAACTGAGGCCTTCAAAGGGGAAAGGATGCAACTTCTGTCACGTTCTAGTTGCTACCCCAGCAATTCTAGAGGAGAAACTGTTGTTCAAGTACAGAAAGTCAAAATTTTGGATGTACTCCTTGAGTGCCCATGTGGGGTTCTACTGCCTCTTTTTCTAGTAGTTCCTCATTTCTTTTCTGCCCTAGGTGTATTTTTTGTTTATATATTTTATTAAATTGAAGCTTATAACCCTCCTTGGTTAATTTTTTCAGTAAATTTTTAGTGAATGCCTGTATGGGCCAGGTGCCCAACTTATAGCTGAGGCAGCAGATTCCACATTTACTTTTCCTCCCTTCCCCTCTCCTCCCCTCTCCTCTCCTCCCTTCCCCTCGCCTCCCTTCTTCTCTTCTCCCTTCCCTTCTCTTCCCTTCCCTCTTTCTTTCTTTTCTTATCTTTTTTATTTATTTTTTTTTGTGGAGTCTTGCTCTCTTGTTGCCCAGGCATTGGCACAATCTCGGCTCACTGCAAGCTCCAGTTCCTGGGTTCAAGCAATTCTCCTGTCTCAGCCACCTGAGTAGCTGGAATTACGGGAACCTGACACCATGCCCAGCTAATTTTTGTATTTTTAGTAGAGACCGGTTTTCACCATGTTGGCCAGGCTGATCTTGAACTCCTGACCTCAGGTGATCCATCAGCCTAGGCCTCCCAAAGTGCTGGGATTATAGGTGTGAGGCACTGTGGCCAGCCCATATTTACTTTTCATAGCTGCCTTAGGACCTCCTCTGCTACAGCCATGGCTAGAATTTCACAAAGCAGTAGTGCCCAGAGATATGGCAGGGATAATGTTCTCCCAGACAAAGTATCAATGTCATCTCTTCTGTTCTCTTTTCTTCTCCCTCTAAGTCATTCAACCCTAAATCAGGTGTGTTCCAGTTTCCTCTACTGCATGTGCCTTAACCTCCTCTCAGCTCCAGAGAAGACTGGACCACCTTCCGCAGAAGGTAAGATGCTGCAATTTGACCATTCATGTGGCCTGTGGTGTTCTTTAGAGTCTGAGTGCCTTGCTGATTGGCTAGGTAATGAGTTAGTACAGACATGAGATTTCTTTGCCTGAGGCTGCCCAAAGGAATTGAAGTGATGTAATTATAAGTTGATTCCTAGAGATATAAAATAATAGAACTGGAAGATGATGGAACCCAAGGCTCCTGGCACTTATAAGAGTTGACAAGGATCCAAATGTTCATCAAACCCAGTTCCTTCTTCTGGACAGTCTCCTCTGCAACATTCCCACGCCAGTCCTCTGGAGTCCACTGTTCACTCTAGCATGAATAGTGTGTTCCATTTCTTCATTCATTTAAGAAATCAATCTTCCTTCCCTCCTTCCCTCCCTCCCTCCCTCTCTCCCCTTCCTTCCTTCCTTCCTTCCTTCCTTCCTTCCTTCCTTCCTTCCTTCCTTCCTTCCTTCCTTCCTCCTTTCTTTTCTTTCATTTTCTTTCTCTCAAGACGGTCTTGCTTTGTCACCCAGGCTGAAGTGCAATGATGTGATCTCAGCTCACTGCAACCTCTACCTCCCTGGTTCAAGTGATTCTTGTGCCTCAGCCTCCTGAGTGGCTGGAACTATAAGCATGTGCCACCATGCCCAGCTAACTTTTTGTATTTTTGGTACAGATGGGGTTTTGCCATGTTGGCCAAGCTGGTCTTGAACTCCTGGCCTCAAACAATCTACCTGCCTTGGCCTCCCAAAGTGCTAGGATTACAGGTGTGAACCACCACACCTGGCCTTTATTCAAATGTTAAGCTCTTAGGTCAGTCTTTTTTTTGTTTTGTTTTGAGACAGAGTCTTGCTTTGTCACCCAGGCTGAAGTACAGTGGCGTGATCTTGGGTTGTTGCAACCTCTGCCTCCTGGGTTCAAGTGATTCTCTTGCGTCAGCCTCCGGAGTAGCTGGGACTGTAGGCGCTTGCCACCACAATTGTCTAATTTTTGTATTTTTAGTAGAGACGGGGTTTTGCCATGTAGGCCTGGCTGGTTTTGAACTCCTGACCTCAAACGATCTGCCTGCCTCAGCCTCCCAAAGTGCTGGGATTACAGGCCTGAGCCACCATTCCCGGCCTTCTTTCCTGTTCTTTCGATATTAAAATATTCCTGCTTTTGTGAAACAATTTTCATAAGAAATCTAGGAATCTCTGCCCCCCATGATAAAATTCCAATTCTTTAAGTGGCATTTGCTTAAAGGTCTTTCACAGTCTAGCTGCAAATTACATCACAGTTTCCCATCTTCTGATACCCCACATCTATTCACTGACTGTCCAGTCACACTGAATGGAAACATGGCATGTCTTCTTATGCCTTCAGCCTCTGAACACCTTGCTTCCTTTTTTTTGTATTCTTTTTTTCTCCATTGCTGCATCTTTTTTTGCTCACCCTCTACAGTTTATTTCTTATTTTTTTTTCCTGAGGCAGAGTTTTGTTCTTGTCGCCCAGGCTGGAATGCAATGGTGCCATCTCAGCTTACTGCAACCTCCACCTCCCAGGTTCAAGCAATTCTGCCTCAGTCTCCCAAGTAGCTGGGATTACAGGTACCTGCCATCATGCTTGGCTAATTTTTGTATTTTTGTAGATATAGAGTTTCACCATGTTGGCCAGGATGGTCTTGAACTCCTGACCTCAGGTGATCTGCCCCCGTCAGCCTCCCAAAATGCTGGGATTACAGTTGTGAGCTACCATGCCTGGCCCACAGTTTCTTCCTCTTTGACCTTGCCTTCCCCATGCCAGGTGGCCTGAGTCACTCCCTCCTCAATATGACACTGACCACATGTCCTGCAATTGCCTGTCTCATTATGTGTCTCTTCCCATCAGCTGCCAGTCCTGAAGGTAGGGCCTGGGTCTCATAGCCTCTCCTAAGAGTAGTAGCCACTCTGCACATATGTCAAATGAATGAATGAAAGAATGAATGTTAATTTTTGAGACATATCCATGTCCTTCAATATGTTAACTGTAGTCTTTCCCAGTAGGTTGAACCCTGCTCAAAGGAAGAGGAGCCTCTGATTTCCTTACTTCCTTCTATACTGCATGTACCCCTTGCTGCCCTGTGCAGTATTCTGCGTGTAGTAGATACTAATGTGCTGATTACCTGTTCTCTTATGTTCTCTGTTTGGCTTTCCTCTACTTGTTCCCTCCCCAGAACTGTCTACGGTGTCTGAGCTCCTGCAGCATGGACTGCCCCAGATAAGCAGCAGGAGCCCTGAAAGCCTTGCTTTCCTGTCTGATCGCCAGTACATGGAGGGAGCTGCTCGCCAGAGACAGCACTGCATCCTGCTCCTCTTCTACTTGGCCTACGTCCATGAGGACAGGTCAGTGCATAGAGGTGGTAGCTGGTCGTGGGTCTTGGGACCTTCATCAATGATTCAGTTCAATAAATATTCACAGAGGCATCTCTCTTAACCTGATACTGGGCACTGGGGACACAGGGATAAGTAAGAAATAGGTTGTGTCCCTGAAAGACCCATATCTTGGAAGGGTTTTAGAACAGGTGAGTAGACACTGTGCTGATAGTCAGAGGCCTAGAAAGCCAAATTTCTTGCTATCCCTGAGGGTGGTGTTTATTCACAGAGATAAAACTTCAGTAGTTTATTTTGGTTTTAATAATCACTTTTTTTTTTGAGACAGTCTTGCTCTGTCGCCCAGGCTGGAGTGCAGTGGCATGATTTCGGCTCACTGCAACCTCCGTCTCCTGGGTTCAAGCGATTCTCCTGCTTCAGCCTCTCAAGTAGCTGGGATTACAGGCGCCCACCACCATGCCTGGATAATTTTTGCATTTTTTTAGTGGAGATGGGGTTTCACCTTGTTGGTCAGGCTGATCTCTATCTTTTGACTTTGTGATCTGTCCACCTTGGCCTCCCAAAGTCCTGGGATTACAGGACTTTAAGCCACTGCGCCTGGCTGGTTTTAATAATTACTACACAGTTTATTACATTCTTAAAATCATGGCTGGACACTGGCTCACACCTATAATCCCAGTGCTTTGGGAGGCCAAGGCGGGCTGATCACTTGAGATCAGGAGTTTGAGACCAGCCTGGCCAACGTGGCGAAAACCTGTCTCCACAAAACATACAAAAATTAGCCAGGTGTGGTGGTGGTTCACACCTATAATCCCAGCTACTCTGAAAGCTGAGTCAAGAGAATTGCTTGAACCCAGGAGGCAAATGTTGCAGCAAGAAAAGGTTGCAGTGAGCCGAGATTGTGCCACTGCACTCCATCCTGGATGACAGAGTGATTGAGATTCTGTTTCAAAAAGGATATAAAAATAAAAATAAAAGGACTGTTCTTTCTTAGGCTTTAAAAAAATAATTTATTGGGCTGGGTGTAGTGGCTCACATCTGTAATCCCAGCACTTTGGGAGGCTGAGTTGGGTGGATTACCTGAGGTCACGAGTTCGAGACCAGCCTGACCAACAATGTGAAACCCCGTCTCTACTAAAAGTACAAAAATTAGCCAGGCATGGTGGCAGGCGTCTGTAGTCCAACTACTTGGGAGGCTGAGACAGGAGAATTACTTGATCCCAGGAGGCGGAGGTTGCAGTGAGCTGAGATCACACCACTGCACTCCAGTGTGGGCAATGGAGTGAGACTCCATCTCAAAATTGTAATAATAATAATTTATTGTCAGGCTCGATGGCTCACATCTATAATCCCAGCACTTTGGGAGGCCAAGGCAGGTGGATCACTTGAGTTCAGGAGTTCAAGACCAACTTGACCAACATGGTAAAACCTTGTCTCTACTAAAAATACAAAAATTAGCTGGGTGTGGTGGTGGTACCTGTAATCCCAGCTACTCTGGAGGCTGAAGCAGGAGAATTGCTTGAACCCAGGAGGCAGAGGTGGCAGTGAACCGAGATCAAGCCATTGCACTCCAGCCTGGGCGACAGAGCGAGACTCCGTCTCAAAAAACAAACAAAAATAATTTATTGAAGTAAAATTTACACAACATAAAATTAACTTTTTTTTTTTTTTTTTGAGACAGAGTCTTGCTCTGTCGCCCAGGCTGGAGTGCAGTGGCGCGATCTCAGCTCACTGCAAACTCCGTCTCCTGGGTTCAAGCAATTCTCCTGCCTCAGCTGCTCGAGTAGCTGGGATTACAGGTGAGTGCTATCATGCCCAGCTAATTTTTGCATTTTTAGTAAAGACGGGGTTTCACCATGTTAGTCAGGTTGGTCTCAAACTCCTGACCTCATGATCTGCCTGCTTTGGCCTCCCAGAGTGCTGGGATTACAGGTGTGAGCCACCGCACCTGGCCAAAATTAACCATTTTAAAGTGAACAATTCAGTGGCATTTAATAGTACATTCAAAATGTGCGACTTGTACCTTAATCTAGTTACAGAATGTTTCTATTACTGCAAAGCTGTCACTTCCATTCCTCCTCCCTCCCCAGCTCCTGGCAATCAACAATCTATTCTGCCTTTTTGGATTTATCTATTCTGAATATTTCATATAGATGAGATCATACAATATATGACTTTTTGTGTCTGGCTTCTTCCACTTAGCATAATGTTTTAGAGGTCCATCCAGTGAGCGTAATGTTTGTACCGTGTATCAGTACTTCATTTCCTTTTATGACTGAATAATATACCTTTGTATGTACACACCATAATTTGTTTTCATTCACCTATTGATGGATATTTGGACTTTTTCCACCTTTTGGCTGTTGTGAATAGTGCTATTGTGAGTATCTGTGTACATGTATTTGTTAGAGTACTGTCTTCAATTCTTTTTGGGTATATTCTCTTTTTTTTTTCTTTTTTTTCTGTGAGAAAACACTTTTTGGGTATATTCTCAATCCTCTCACCTGGCCTCCCCAAATGCTGACATTACAGGCATCAGCCACTGCACCTGGCCTCCTGTTTGCTGTCTTTTTACTTTCTTTTATTTCTTTCTTCCTTTCCTATCCTGTCCTATTCTGGCCTTTCCCTTTTTTCCTTCCTTTCTCTCACCTCAGCTCCTCTTTTTTCCCCTCCCCTCCCCTCCCTTCCCTTCCCTTCCCGACTCTACTCTCCCTTTTTCCTTACCTTCCCCTTTTTCTTTCTTTGCTTTTCCTTTCAGATCTTGCTCTGTAACCCAGGCTTAAATGCAGTAGCACAATTATGGCTCACTGCAACCTCACCTTCCTGGGCTCCAGTGATCCTCCTACCTCAGCCTCCCTAGTAGCTGGGACTATAGGTATGCATCACCACAACCAGTTTATTATTATTATTATTTTCATAGAGATGAGGTATCACTATGCTGCCTAGGCTAGTCTCAAACTCCTGGCCTTAAGCAGCTCTCCCATCTCAGCCTTCCAGAGTGCTGGGACTCTAGGCATAAGCCATCACACCTGGCCCTTTTCACTTTCTTAGTGGTATCCTTTGAAGTACAAATGTTTTTAATTTTGATGACCTCTAATTTACCTATTTTTTCTTTAGTCATTTATGTTTTTGTTATTATATCTACTAAACACACTACTGTTTAATGATAAATATTGGCCAAACACACCACTGTTTAATGATAAATACAAGAAAAGAGGGGTGGAGCAGCTGCCAAAGCATGGCTTTCTGAACCCCAGCAGTAGCACCCTTCTCTTTAACAGTGCTGGTCCAGCTGGCAGATAGCTTACCTCCCAAGTGTGGATGGGGAGTATTTGGCCTCTAACTGAGCTTTGCACAAGGCATAGAACAATGTGATGTATATATGTGGCAATGCTTTGTAAGTATGTATAGCACACTATTTGTGTAAGATGTCATTAGGCTGTGGGCATGCTGGGGCAGGACAGTGGGCTGACGAAGGATGTGCCAGGTGGGACAGAAGGTTCTAGTGGCCTGCCAGCTCTGTCTTTCTCACTCAGGCTTTTCTTGGTTGACAGGTTTGTCTCAGAGGCAGACTTATTTGAGGCTGTGCAAAGCTTCCTCCTGTCTCTGCAGGACCAGGGCGAGTGCCCCCCACTGGCAGTCTTCAAAGCCTCCATCTATGTGCTTGCAGTCTGCCAGGACAAAGACAGTGTACTACATGAGGTATGGACCACAATGCTTGGGCTCCTCCTCCTCCTATACCTCTTTACTAGTGTTCCCTGGGAGACCATGATGATGATAGGTGTATAGACAAGTGGGTGGTAGAGAGAGACAAAGTGGAGATGTTGGGATAGTAGAGAGGAGACACAGATAGAGCCTGTATAATTTACCTAATTCTCTCAGCAGTCCTGGGAGGCAGAGATTATTGTTTACATTCTACAGAAAAGAAAATCAAGTCCGAAGTTCAAGAAACTTTCTCTAGGTCACACAGTTAATTGATGGGGGAGTCAGGACTCCAGCTCAGACTTGACTGACTCCTAAGGCTCATTCTTTGGTACCACCTCTGGTTGGTTATAGGAGCAGAGAGATCTGAGGTATTGTTATTTCCTTCTGGTAACAGTTTATCAAAGAAAGTAGATTTATGGGACCCAGATCATTGTTAATAAGGCTATTGGATCACTTTCATGGTGGTTATGTGTGGGCAAGTTTTCTCTCTCCAGCTTCTTTATGAACTCCTGGGATCAAGGACCATGTCTGATTCATCACTGAACCTCTCACCTATTTCATAGAATATTGCTTCTATTCCTTAGGGTGGACTCTTCAGCCTAAACCTAAAGATACTCTTCCTTTATTGACTATTAATTTTGCCTCTTTTTGATTACTGTTTTTTTGTTTTTGTTTTGAGACCGAGTTTTGCTCTGTCACCCAGGCTGGAATACCCAGGCTGGAGTGCAGTGACACAATATCGGTTCACTGCAACCTCCACCTCCCAGGTTCAAGAGATTCTCCTGCCTCAGCCTCCTGAGTAGCTGGGGCTACAGGTGTGTGCCACCACACCTGGCTAACTTTTTGTATTTTTATTAGGGACAGGGTTTCACTGTGTTAGCTAGGGTTGTCTCGATCCCCTGATCTCGTGATCAGTGCTAGGATTACAGGTGTGAGCCACTGTGCCTGGCCTCTTTTTGATTACTGTTGAGGCAAATTTGCTGCATGTAGACCTTGTTTAATTTGAATGGAAACAGAAAGGTATAATGAAAGTGAATGGGCTTTCAAGGAAAATGTACTTGGGTACAGAATGTCCTGTTGTCTCTCTCTGTGTTAGTAGCAGCCACTGGTGAGCATTGCCTTGACCCACTAAGTCATTGGGGATTACAAAACAATAATATTCTAGGTCTGTCATTCTCTCTTTGTTTATTAACTTAAATACTTGTATAAAAGGAAACATCCTCTCATTAACTATTCAGTTACTCTGAAGGATTAGATTACATAGGAAACATAGGTTAAATGCTTGATTCTCTTCCTTTGGTTATCAGTTTTCAAAAACATGAGTTTGTTGTGTAGCAACCTCCAAAGATGACCAAATATTATTACTTTTTAAAATTTTTAATTATTTGTAGGGACAGGATCTTACTATGTTGCCTAGGCTAGTCTTGAACTTATGGCCTCAAACCATCCTCCTGCCTTGGCCTCCCAAAGTCTTGGTATTACAGGTGTGAGCCACCATGCCTAGCTAGAGTTTTTAAAACTATCATGATTAGCTCATGAGTTTAAAATGTTTGATAAGTTTTAATCTGATACACTTAGTTTATTATTAGTATTATTTTCGAAACAGGGTCTCACTTTGTCACCGAGGCTGGAGTGCCGTCATGTAATCATGGCTCACCACAGCCTCACCCTCCTGGGCTCAAGTGATCCTCCTATCTCAGCTTCTTGAGTAGCTGGGAACATAGGTGCATGCTACCACACCAGGCTAATTTTTTTTTTTTTTTTTTTGAAATAGAGTTTTGCTCTTATTGCCTAGGCTGGAGTGCAATGGCGCAAACTTGGCTCACCGCAACCTCCGCCTCCTGGGTTAAAACTATTCTCCTGCCTCAGCCTCCCGAGTAGCTGGAATTACAGGCATGCACCACCATGCCTAGCTAATTTTTGGTTTTTTTTTTTTTTTTTTTTTGAGACGGAGTTTCGTCCTTGTTACCCAGGCTAGAGTGCAATGGCACGATCTCGGCTCACCACAACATCCACCTCCTGGGTTCAGGCAATTCTCTTGCCTCAGCCTCTCGAGTAGCTGGGATTACAGGCACGTGCCGCCATGCCCAGCTAATTTTTTGTATTTTTAGTAGAGACGGGGTTTCACCATGTTGATCAGGATGGTCTCGATCTCTTGACCTCGTGATCCACCCGCCTCGGCCTCCCAAAGTGCTGGGATTACAGGCATGAGCCACCGCGCCTGGCCAATTTTTGGTATTTTTAGTAGAGACGGGGTTTCTTTATGTTGGCCAGGCTGGTCTTGAACTCCTGATCTCGTGATCCGCATGCCTCAGCCTTTCAAAGTGCTGGGATTACAGGTGTGAGCCACTATGCCTGGCCGCACCAGGATAATTTAAAAAAAAAAAAAATGTGTAGAAATGGGGTCTTCAATTGTTGCCCAGGCTGGTGTTAAACTCCTGGCCATCATTCTTTTATGACTCAAATTGTCCTATCTTTGGCCAATGGGAGGCTTCTAAGTCCTTTTCATACATCTCTAGTAGTATTTGATAAAGTTTGGGCTTTCTAGTGTAACAAGATCCTTCAGGCTTGTTGCATACATTTCCCACTTTCTTATTCTCTCTTGAACTTACCCCAGTTAGACTTTCACCCCCAGTTATCCCTGAAAGTGTACTTGCCAAAGTCACCCATAAATAGCACATGGCTAGAACCAGTTGGCAAAATTTAGTCATCATCTTACTTGACTTATCAACATCTCTTTTCTTTGAATCACTGCCTTTACTTGGCACATAGAATGTCATATATTCATGGTTTTTCTCCTGCTTCTCTGGTGGATTTACTTCAATGTCCTTTGCTAATTCTCCTTTATTTCCCTGACCTCTAAATGTAGTGCCTCAGGGTTCTGTCTTTGACTGCTTTTCTTTTCTATCTAAATTTATTGATTTCATGCAATCTAGTTTAAAGAAGTCACCCTGGCTGCCAGGACAAAGACCACAGGGGTGTAAGAGTAGAAGTGAATAAACTAATTAGGAGGCTCCAGCAATAAGGTAGGCAAGAGATAGCAGAGGATGTAGCAGAAAGTCAGCTTCAGATATACTTTGAAGGTAGAGTCACAGGATTTCTTGATGGATCAGATTTGAGGTATGAGCATAAAAGTGAATAAAATGATATCTCCATATATTTTGCTTCTGAGGGTGAGGGGCCAAAGAATTGTTGAATTGAAACACTAGAGGCAGTGAGCTGGAAAGACAGGTGGGCAAGGTGGTGGGATGCTTGACATTGGGATTATTGTGGAGGATGCAGTTACTGGTGAAGTCTGGGGGCATGACCGTGGGCATGAATGGCTGAGGCAGGTGAAGGTAATTAGAAGGGAAGAAGTTGGAGAATTTAGAGGCCAAGATTTTGGAACTAGGAAGGTAGGAGAGAAAAATATCTCCACTTGAGAGATTGCAGGCAAAACAAATCTATGGAAAACAATCAAAGCAACAAGGAGAAAGGAATTTTCAGAGCAGAAGTTTAGAACATAGAGAATTGGCTGATAACTGTGAGTGAGTTCTAGAGGGCACAGTGGAACATTGTGGGGAGCTGGGTAAGAATGGGAGACAGAGGCCCGGCGCAGTGGCTCACGCCCATAATCCCAGCACTTTGGGAGGCCGAGGTGGGTGGATCACCTTAGGTTGGGAGTTAGAGACCAGCCTGAGCAACATGGAGAAACCCTGTCTCTACTAAAAATACAAAAAAAAAAAAAAATTTAGCCAGGCATGGAGGCAGAGGTTGCAGTGAGCCAGTATGGTGCCATTACACTTCAGCCTGGGCAACAAGAGTCAGACTGTCACAGACAGATAGACAGACAGACACACACACACACACACACACACAGAGAGAGAGAGAATGGGAGATAGAAACAGAAAAGTATATGCCCTGAGCCACATGGGGATGATGCTGGGCTTCCTGAGGTAACTGATGTAAACAGAGAAAAGGGCATAATAGGAATAGTCCCATGGCTTTGAGAATATAGCAAGGCTGGATTTTGGGGGCCCCTTTTTCACATCTGCTGGTGATGGTATGGAAGCTAGGAAGGTAGCTCATGGGGCCCCAGGCTTGTCCTCTGAGGCAGGAATCCATAAATGACATATTATACATATATGTTTAAAAATTTTGTATAGATTGGGCATGGTGGCTCACGCCTTTAATCCCAGCACTTTGGGAGGCTGAGGTGGGAGGATCACTTGAGCCCAGGAATTCAAGACTAGCCTGGGCAAAATGGTGAAACCACATTGCTACAGAAAATTTTAAAAAACTGACCAGGCAGGCTGGGCATGGTGGCTTATGCCTGTAATCCCAGCACTTTGGGAGGTTGAGGCGGGCAGATCACCCGAGGTCAGGAGTTCAAGACCAGCCTGGCTAACATGGTGAAACCCCGTCTCTTAAAAAAAAAAAAAATTGACCAGGCATGGTGGTGCACATCTGTGGTCCCAGCTACTGGGAAGGCTGAGGTGGGAGGATTACTTGAGCCCAAGAGGTCGAGGCTGCAGTGAGCCATGTTCATACCACTGCACTCCAGCCTGGGTGGCAGAGTAAGACCTTGTCTCAAAAAATAAAATAAAATTTAATATGAATATATAAAGGGCAATGGGACTGCCTAGGCAGGGTAGTGCTGCAAGGGACACCTTCAGGAGGCTCGCAGACCTCTTCCCCATAAAATTTGCCTGCTAGCTCCCAGGATATTCCTTTACTTTTGCTCTGATGTCACCTTCTCCATGTGGTATCTTCTATGAGAAGGCTTCCTTGGTGCCATTTACCTGTGAATGCCCTTTGTGTAGAAGCAGGGTGACCTTGTATACATGCATTGCACAGAAAGGTAGGACTCCTGGGTCCACATTCTGGTTCTGTTGCTCATAGTATGGGCCTTCCTAGAGAGGTCTTCTTCCCTTTCTGGGCCTTGGACAGAGTTATCTCTGAGATCCTTTCTGACTCTCATGGTCTTTAAGCCTTTGTGGAAGGAGTGGAGGAGATACACACTGAGGTATGTGTCTGAGGATCCCCAATAGCCAGCGTGTGGATGTCTCTGTGGGGATGGACATTTCAGAGTGTCACCCTCTACTTATGCCTGGAAGCTCCTCCTTTTCAGCAACTTCATTCCAGTTTGATCAGCATTTCCTAAGCTGTTGAACACAACTCAATGCCCATGGTTTTTTATTTGCTTCTCAACATTTCAGCAACTCACTCAATTGGATTGACCACTTGACATGAGCTAGGTATCATGTGGGGCCCTGTCAGGTGTGAAATGAATCAAACAAGTTCCCTGCCCTCAGAGAACACAAGTTTGTCAGGGGAGACAAAAAGGTCTCCTATGGGGCAGGTGGCTATAGTAATGAGTACTCTCCTGGAGCTGGAGGACTGGCCAAGAACCAGCAAAGCACAAAGGGAGAGATTGTGTCAGATTATATAGCATCAGGAGAGGCTTTGTGGAGAGATGGAAGAGGTGAAGGAAGAACTTTGAAGGTGACAGTAGAGTATGATTTAATGTACAGAAGTGGGAAGATGCCCAGTCTATCAATTCAAGGAAGCCTAGTTTAATGTACCTTAGCTAAGTCATATGGGAGGTATAATGGAGAGGAGCTGAAAAGGTAGACTTAAGTCTTTATTAACATGCTTGAAAATGAAATTAGGCTGGCCATGGTGGCTCACGCCTGTAATTCTAGAAATTTGGCAGGCTGAGGTAGGCAGATTGACTGAGCTTAAGAGTTCAAGACCAGCCTGACCAACATGGTGAAACCCTGTCTCTACTAAAATACAATAAATTAGCCAGGTGTGGCAGTGTATGACTGTAGTCCTAGCTATTCTGGAGGCTGAGGCAGGAAAATTGCTTGAATGTGGGAGGCTGAGATTGTACTGAGCCAAGATTGTGCCACTGCACTCCAGCCTGGGCGACAGTGAGACTCTGTCTCCAAAAAAAAAAAAAATGAAATTAAGGGAACAATTTCATTTACAATAGCATCAAGAAATTAAATTCTTGGAAATGAAACAAAAATAGTACAAGGACTTTGTATTCAGTTCTTGCATTATTATAGAGAACTACCTGAGACAGTAATTTATAAAGAAAAGACATTTACTTGACTCAGTTTCACAGTCTGTACAGGAAGCATGGCTGAGGAGGTCTCAGGAATCTTGCAATCGTGGAAGGCAAGGGGGAAGTAGGCATGTCTTATGTGGCTGGAGAAGGAGGAATAGAGTGAAGGAAGAGGTGCTACACACTTTTAAACAACCAGAGTTCATGAGAATTCACTCATTATTACCAGAGCAGAAGGGGAAAATCCACCCCCATGATTGAATTACCTCCCACCAGGCTCCTCCTCTAACATTGAGGATTATGATTTGGACATGAGATTTGAGGAGGGACACAAATTTAAATCGAATTTAAATCGAAATTTAAATCAAATCAACTTACATAGTGAAAAATTCAAAACATTACTGTTTCTCTTTAATTTTTTTTTAAAAATTAAAAATCTAAATTAACAGACTGTATTCATAAATTGGAAGACTTAATAGTGTTAAGATGGCAGCGCTCTCCAACTTGATCGATAGATTCAATGCAATCTGTATCAAAATCCTAGCTCTACTTTTTTGCAAATATGAACAAACTGAACCTAAAATTCATATGGAAATGCAAAATAGTCAAGAAATCTTGAAAAAGAAAAACAAAATTGGAAGACTCAGACCTTTTTTTATTTTGAAACTTACCAAAAAACTATAGTAATCAGGATAGTGTGGTACTGACGTAAGAGCAGACGTATAGATCAATGGAATAGAATTGAGAGTCCAGAATAATTCCATATATTTATAGTCAATTAATTTTTATGAGGGTGCCAAGATAATTCAATGGGGGAAGATTGGTCTTTTCAGCAGATTTCCAGGAATAACTGGATATACACATGCAAAAGAATGAAGTTGGACTCTTAACTCATACTGTACACAAAAATGAACTCACAATGAATGAAAGACCTAAATGAGCCAAACTGTAAAACTCATATAATAGCATACTAAGGAATTTTTCTTTTTTTTGAAATGGAGTCTTGCTCTGTTGCCCAGACTGGAGTGCAACAGCACGATCTTAGCTCACTGCAACCTCTGTCTCCCAGGTTCAAGCAATTTTCCTGCCTCAGTCTCCAGAGTAGCCGGGATTACAAGTGCGCCACAATGCCCTGCTAGGTTTTGTATTTTTAGTAGAGATGGGGTTTCACCATGTTGGCCAGGCTGGTCTTAAACTCCTGACCTCAGGTTATCCACCCGCCATGGCCTCCCAAAGTGCTGAGATTATAGGTGTGAGCCACCATGCCCAGGTTTTTTTTTTTTTTGAGATGGAGTTTCACTCTTGTTGCCCAGACTAGAGTGCAATGGCGTTACCTCGGCTAACCACAACCTTACCTCCTGGGTTCAAGCAATTCTCCTTCCTTGGCCTCCTGAGTAGCTGAGATTACAGGCATGCGCCATTATGCCCAGCTAGTTTTGTATTTTTGATAGAGATAGGGTTTCTCCCTATTGGTCAGGCTGGTATCGAACTCACGACCTGATGTGATCTAGCAGCCTCAACCTCCCAGTGCTGGGATTACAGGCATGAATCACTGCTCCCAGCCTTGTACTAAGGAATTTGAACATTGTTATATGTGCAACGGGAAGAGGTAGATTTGTGAGAAGTAAGAAATTATTCAGCATATCTCTCCTTCACCTTTTCTGTGCCAGGCTCTATGGTAATTGCACAGATTAATCTGCCACAGTCCTTACCCTCAAGCAGCTTTCAGCCTAGGTGGGAGGTAGACATGCACACTGACAATTACCACCCACTGTGGTACCATCATCAGGCTGGGTTTCTTGACCTCGGCACTATTAACATTTTGCACCAGATTATTTTTTGTATGTGTGATAGGCTTTCCTGGCATTATAGGATATTAGCAGCATCCCTGCTCTCTCCCCACTAGATGCCAGTAGCAGTCCCCCCAGTCAAGACAGTAAAAAATATCTCTAGACTTTACCAAATGTCCCGTGGGAGCAAAATCACCCCTAGTTGAGAACTTCTGTTATAAGGTAAGTTCAGTGGTATTTTCTCACTAGAGTGCCTTGGGATGAGCCAGCCAAGGTGTCCTGGAATACTGAAATGCCAGTACATTTTTCCTAGTCATGTCTTGCCCATGTTGGGGTCTCTTGGGTCCTCTGCAAGGTGCATTAACTCCTTTCTTTCTTTTGCCTCCAGACTATGGTCAGTGCAATCAGAAAATTCCTAGAGGGCATCCCAGACCTGCAGCTAGTCTACACCCACCATCCACTCCTGCTTAGGTTCTTTCTGTTGTATCCAGAGCTCATGAGTAGGTTTGGGCACCGTGTCCTGGAACTTTGGTTCTCCTGGGAAGAGAGCAGCTATGAGGAACTTGATGATGTCACCTCTGCTGGGCAGCCCACCCTTCCTACCAGCTTAGCAGTCCTGTTCCAGTTGCTCAGAAGCATCCCCAGCATCCTGCTCATCTTGCTGGTAGGCGACCACTCATTCATTTCTACATTCAGGAATGGACCTTCAGGCACTGTGGCTCATGCCTCTAATCCCAGCACTTTGGGAGGCCAAAGTGGGCGGATCACCAGGTCAAGAGATTGAAACCATCCTGCCAACATGGTGAAACCCTGTCTCTACTAAAATGCAAAAATTAGCCGGGCATGGTGGCACGCACCTGTAGTCCCAGCTACTCGGGAGGCTGAGGCAGGAGAATTGCTTGAACCCAGGAGACAGAGTTTGCAGTGAGTGGAGGTTACACCACTGCCTTCAAGCCTTGCCCTTGGTAACCAAACAAGACTCTTGTCTCAAAAAAAAAAAAAAAAAAATGGTGGGCCTTTTCTCTCTGGGTGCTGGTTTACTGAGGTCAAGGCACCCACAGCTGCTTTAGCCCACCTCTGGATTTATTACTGTCTCCATGTGAGTGGGGGGTCTCTTCTACTTACAGGTGCCTGGCTTCTATAAATCCATACTCTTCTCTAAGTCTAATGGAAGTCTAGGGCAGTGAGAGATGTGTGCCTCTCTTCCCCCTCGGGGATGACACTATAAAATGCAGATCTTAGTCACCATTTCCTCTCACCTCCCTATCATCTCTCAAGCAGATTCTGCTAACACAGGTTTAATGTCAAAGGAAGCTCCTGGGACATGTAGATGGAAAACTCTGATGGCAGAGGGACTCCTCTTTTTTTTACATGATAATATTACATGTGCAACATACTTGCTCAGTCATACCTAGAATTGACAGATGTCCTAATACTTTTTTTTTTTTCCTGGAGACAGAGTTTCTTTTATTTATTTATTTATTTTTCTGAGACAGAGTTTCGCTGTTGTTACCCAGGCTGGAGTGCAATGGCGTGATCTCGGCTCACCGCAACCTCCGCCTCCTGGGTTCAGACAATTCTCCTGCCTCAGCCTCCTGAATAGCTGGGATTACAGGCACGCGCCACCATGCCCAGCTAAGTTTTTGTATTTTTAGTAGAGACGGGGTTTCACCATGTTGACCAGGATGGTCTCGATCTCTTGACCTCGTGATCCACCCGCCTCAGCCTCCCAAAGTGCTGGGATTACAGGCATGAGCCACCACGCCCGGCTGAGACAGAGTTTCATTCTGTCACCCAGGCTGGAGTGCAGTGGCATGATTTCGGCTCACTGCAACCTCCGTCTCTCCCCTTCATGCAGTTCTCCTGCCTCGGCCTCCTGAATAGCTAGAACTATAGGTGCACACCACCACACCCAGCTAATTTTTTATTTTTGTATTTTAGTAGAAATGGGGTTTCACCTCATTGCCCAGGCTGTCAATACTTTTTAATGAAGTAAGACATTACTGAAATTCCCATCAGTAATTAAATGGGTTAATTAGATTAGGTAAGGTAAACTGCCTCGTGTCTGCAATTTCCAACACACTGGATTTAACTCCACTTTTTTTCCTCCACTCAACAAAGCACATTGAACAACAAATTAGAGTAGCAGGGGACAGAGCTAAGATACTAGATTTTCTTCACCAGATGAAATATTTGGGGTCAGTTTCTCACACATAGTAGGTACTTATTATAAGGTTAGCTGAGAGAAAGGAGAAAAGACCCTAAGTTAGGCAAGCATGTTTTACTAACCTGCCGGGCTGCCCCGTAACAGTCAGAGGAGGCAGCCCTGAGCTTACAAAATGAGGGGTTTATATGGGGTGAGAAGGGCATAAGGGAATTTCAGGACTGAGATAATCTATCAGCTTGTAACAGGCAGAGAGATAGTTTGTTAACTTGTGACAAGCTTACAATACATCATCCTGTGACTTTTGTGGCAGCAGTTTTTAAAAAAGAACCCAGAATTTTACAGGTAGGTGTCAAACAGGAATTTATAAGTATGGATAGCAAACACTGGTTTTCCCTGTTCTCCCCCAAGCTGCCCAGATGGCTGTAATCAGGCTTTGCGTAATTGTAGCACATCTGGCAGGCTTGATGTGACACCCAGATAGGAGTTCAGAAATGCAGCCGCAGAGCAATCAGAGTAGGAGGAAGGGGTCAACTTGGACACAGGGGATTCTGAGGCAGCTTGTCCCTAACACCTATAAATATTTATGACCTGTTGAATTATAGGTACGGATAGATCTAAGTCTCTATTTCATCCCCCCAAAAAATAATGAATTCAGCTGGTTGTGGTGGCTCACATCTGTAATCCCAGCACTTTGGGAGGCTGAGGCAAGTGGATCACCTAAGGTCAGGAGTTCGAGACCAGCCTGGCAAACATGGTGAAACCCCATCTCTACTCAAAATACAAAAATTAGCCGGGTGTAGTGGTGCACGCCTGTAATCCCAGGTATTCGGGAAGCCAGGGCAGGAGAATCACTTGAACTCAGGAGGTGGAGGTTGCAGTGAGCTGAGATCATGCCACTACACTCCAACCTGGGCAACAGAGTGAGACTTCATCTGAAACAAACAAACAAAAAACAACAAATTTAGGTCCTCTGATATACTTAGGGATAATAGTGACAATACAGTCATGCATTGCTTAATGGGAATATGTTTTGAGAAAAACAGTGTTAGTTGATTTTTGTGATTGTGTCAACATCATGGAGTACACTTACACACATCTAGATGGTCTAGCCTACGACACACCTAGGCTATATGGGATGGCCTGATACTCCTAGGCTATAAATCTAAGTATTTAAAGAAGCAAACCAAACAAAGTGAATCTCAGGAGACCAAATCCTTAGAGTCTACGTCCCAGGGAAGCTGGAGTAGATGTCCCACCCTTTATCCTGGTGACTCAATCCTTGTCCTTGAATGTGCACCATTCTCATCACCTCTCCTTTCTGGAGGTGGGGGGGTCAGGGCAGAGAGGAGTCTTATACTAGAGCTTAACAGGAAGGAGTGGCCTTCAAGATGGGTTGCTGCATAGAGGACTAGGAAGATAGAGGCTAATCTGAACTTCAGTTTCCTCACAGAAAATGGACATAACATGAGGGTAGATGAGATACTATGTGGGAACACTCTTGGTTGCTTCACATAGTGGGCTGTCATTCACTAATCATTAACTCTGCCTCTGAACTAGAAAAAGTTCATCTCAGAGAAGCTAGTTGAATTGCCCAAGGTCATATAGTTAATAAGGGTCATGGACTAAGAGCCCAGTGTTAGTAAGTTTTTCACTAAATTAGATCCTAGAGACATCAATGGTAAAAAAGAAGAGCAAGGAACAACTTTGTTGTCTGTTTAGATATATAATTCTTACCATTTCTCCCCAGCTTCTAGACACAGGAGGGAAACAGAGTCTAAAAATATGTGTTGGGCTGGGCACAGTGGCTCACACCTGTAATCCCAGCACTTTGGGAGGTCAAGGCAGGTCGATATTGAGGTCAGGAGATCAAGACCATCCTGGATAACATGGTGAAACCCCATCTCTAGTAAAAATACAAAAAATTAGCGAGGTGTGGTGGTGAGTGCCTATAGTCCCAGCTACTCAGGAGGCTGAGGCATCAAGACACTTGAACCCAGGAGGCAGAGGTTGCAATGAGCTGACATTGCACCACTGCACTCCAGCTTTGGCAACAGAGCAAGACTCCATCTCAAAAAAAAAAAAAATTTTTTTTTAAATGTGTTGATACTGGCCAGGCGCGGTGGCTCACGCCTATAATCCCAGCACTTTGGGAGGCCGAGGCAGGTGGATCACGAGGTCAAGAGATCGAGACTATCCTGGTCAACAAGGTGAAACCCCGTCTCTACTAAAAATACAAAAAATTAACTGGGCATGGTGGTGCGTGCCTGTAGTCCCAGCTACTCAGGAGGCTGAGGCAGGAGAATTGTCTGAACCCAGGAGGCGGAGGTTGCGGTGAGCCGCGATCGCACCATTGCACTCCAGACTGGGTAACAAGAGCAAAATTCCATCTCAAAGAAAAAAAAAAATTTGTTGGTACTAATTTCTGGTTTTGATAGGGGTAATTAACAGCTGAAAACAAAGCTATTAATTGCCACTCTTATTAATGGGTGGTCTTTCATATAGGTTGTTTAGTTGTGAAGGAAAAATGACATCACAGAAGCTCTATTTCCTCCTTGGCCAAGTCACCCTGGTCTGTCTAATCCCAGAGAGTTCTGGACAGCTCTGGAGAGCAGAGACTACAGATAAGGTCATGGTTTTGCCCAGAGCCTTCCTACTAACCCATAACGGTGGGGTCCACACATTCCTCTTCCTCCAGCATTCACCATAGCTACCCAAAGCTGAGTAGCCACTTTCCTTTTATTCCCTTAACATTCATTAACTCACATTTCTGAGGGACTAGTGGCAGTGGGGCAGTGATGTGTTGATGAAGGTGCAAGACCAGGAAACTGGTTTGAGCTTGGGTTCTGTGACCCTGGGCAAATCATGCCCCTCCCTTCCCACTGGGCTTCAGCTCATACTCTGTAAAGTAAAGGTATTGGAAAAAATTGTCTAGATTCTCTGTAGCCCTCCCATTCTGTGACCCTTTCCAGAGGTGTTTTCTAAGTCCTTACAAGGTGACGAAGATGAAGTAGACCTCATCCCCTCCCTTCATTAACTCACAGTGCAATAGAATTTACAACTTTATTACTTTCTTGATACGTAAACTGATTAACCTGCCCCAGTTTTCTCATTTGACACCTACCTGGAAGAGTTATTATAGAGATATAAATAATGTATAAACAAATATACAGCTATTGTATAAACAACTTAGTACCTGACATTATTAGGCCCTAACTGAGTGGTTGTTACTGATATTATAGTCATTTTTCCAGCAACTGTGGAGGCTTCTAAGAACCAAACGTAGACATCCCTGTGACCCCATCCCTCTCCTCCTGCCCAGTGATCAGCACACCTGGGTTTGTCTGGCCAGGTGCATTGTAGCCATATCTCTCTGTCAGGAGCTCTCCTCCCTGAAGAGGAAGTCTATGTGAACTTGGATTCATAGCACTCAGTCCAAACTGGCCCAGCACATTAGCCTGTCCAAAGGAATTGGCTTCTTTGAGCTGGGAGGTGCCAGGAGCTATCAGTAGGGTAGCCTCTGGTGTAGCTTCTGACTGGCTTTGTCTCTAACAGATGCTCATTAAAATAACTCTGAAAGCGAAATAAAAAGCAATGTCCTTCCCCAGTGGGGATGTGTGAGAAAAGAAAAAAAAATTTTTAAAAAGAAGATCAAGGAAAAAAAACAAAACAAAAAACAATGTCCTTTCACATCCTCCGAGCCTATGGCCTTTATAGCTTGGGGCAGAGATAGCCAGATGCCTTGGTAGAGAAAGGGCCTGACTTGGTTCTCACTTCCCTTTCTGTACACTGAATCTGTCCTAATTTATACTCTTCTTGCCCAGTGACATCATCACTCTCTCCTCTTCTCCTTTAAGGCATACTCAGGTTCCCCGTCCTGAAAACAACCTCTTGACCCTAATCCTTCCATTTGCAAGAGGGAGGCATCCCAGAAAATAGAGCTTTGGACATGGAGCTGGGAGACCTGCATTCAAATTCTGTCTGTGCCACTGGCTTATGTGACCTTTAGCAAGTCATGTAATCTCACTGAGCCTCTGTTTTCTCCTGTCTGTGATGGATTTAATAGGGTAGATCTATTCTAAGGGGTGGTTGTGAGGTGTCAGTGCACCTAAAGAGCCTTTGATACATAACAGGTGCTTAGTAAGAGAGAAATTACCCAGTTTTTGTGACACTATCATTCTGGGCCCTTTTCCTGCTCCTCTATTCCTCATTGTCACTTTCCCCAACTGCAATACCCTCTGATCTATGGCTTTCTTCTCTCCTGCTCAGGACCTAATCTATTCCAGCCCAGTGGACATAGCTCGCAAGGTACTGATTAGCCTGAGGACCTTCCTGAGGAAGAATGAGGATATCCAAGTGGGCGGTCTTATCCGAGGCCACTTCCTGCTGATCCTGCAGCGTCTGCTAGTGGAGCATGGGGCTTCCCCATCAGGAGGTCAGTCTGCAGGTACCGTGGGCACACTTTGACCTGAAAGTGTGGGCATCAGTCAAGAATGGGCATCTCTATCTTTGTTAGGTCTGTTCCAGGAGAAAGAACCAGGGTCTTACCTGAAAAAGAAGTCAGGTCATTGTGGCATCAAGCCAAACCTCACCTCCTTTCTCTCACTGCAGAGTGGGTGTACCACAAGCTTGGTTTGATGTGCAAATGTTTAACATGAATAGGTGTGTTTGATGTATGCGTGCATGTCCCTACCCTGTGTAGCATGTGCTCAGAGTTGTTTGTCACAAGAATGGCAGCCCCGCTGTGGGAAGAAGAAAGTGGGAAGTCTGGAGGAAGCTGGAGGTAGCAGCAGTCTGGAGGGTCTGGGGAGGGAGGTGGATCTGTGATGTGTTGGAAGCTCCCAGTGAGATCCAGGAGAACCGTTTCCAAATCTGGAATGGTACTCACTGGAGTCAAGGAAGCTTGATGTTTGGTACAGTATGAAGACACTGAAATTGGGATTGGTTTATTTTATTTATTAATTTATTTAATATTTTATGTATTTTGTTTTATTTTATTATTTTATCTGTCACCCAGGCTGGAGTGCAGTGGCAAGATCTCAGCTTACTGCAACCTCCGCCTCCCAGGTTCAAGCTATTCTTGTGCTCCTGAGTAGCTGGGACTTGCAGGCATGTGCCACCACACCTGGCTAATATTTCTGTATTTTCAGGAGAGACAGGGTTTTACCATGTTGCTCAGGGTGGATTTGAACTCCTGAGCTCAAGAGATCTGCCTGCCTCAGGCTCCCAAAGTGCTTGGGTTACAGGGGTGAGCCCTGTTTTTTTCTATTTTTAGAGAAACTGAAGTTTAAAATTAAATTTCTAAGCAAAGTGAGAGGCAATCTGTGGCTACCTGGCAGAGGACTGAGGGTTTGGAAGCAGGTTTAAGGGTGTCAAGAGGAGATGAGTTATTTCTTTTCAGGGAAGGACAAGCCATGCTTAACTGATAATACTGGTTAAGAGCCATAAGATTTAGTGGAAATAAAGTAGGAAGTCCATGGGCATTGGATTCAGATTTGGGTCTTAGTCTGTTTGGGCCATAGACTGGGTAACTTACAAACAACAGAAATTTATTTCTCAGTTTTTGGGCCTGGGAAATCCAAAATCAAGGTGCTGGAAGATTCAGTGTCTGGTGAAGGCCCACTTCGTGGTTCATAAATAGCTGTCTTATTTTTCCTTCCTTCTTTCTCTTTCTTTTTCTTTTCTTTTCTTTCTTTCCTCCTCCTCTTTCTGCTTCTCCTTATCCCTTCCCTCCTCCTCCTTTCTTCCTTCTCCTCCTCTTTTCTTCCTCTTCCTCCTCCCCTGGCCCCCACAGCCTTGACCTCCTAGGCTCAAACAATCCCCCAACTTCAGACTCCTGAGTAGCTGGGGTTACAGGCATGTGCCAGCATGATGGCTTATCTTCTTACTATGTAAGAAGAAGGGGTGAGGGAGGGAGTGCCTCACAGTTTCTTTCAAAAGACCACTCATCTCATTTATGAGGATTCTGCCCTCCTCAGTCATCTACCAGAGACCTCACTTCCTAATATTATCACAATGGGGGTTAAGATTTCAGCATGAATTTTGGAGGAACACAAACATTCAAGACCATAGCGCCCTGCCACTTTCTGGCTATGGGATCTTGGAGAAGTCACTCAGCCTCTCTGAACCTCAATTTTGTAAGTGCAAAATGGGAATAACAATCCATGCTTCACATTTTTTTTCATGGGATTAAATGAAATAATGAATTCTTGGTACCAACCTATGTCTGGCACCTAGTGGTTACGCCTGTCCTGAATGAAGAAAGATAGAGGGGTAAATCACAACAAAACATCTGACTTCTTAGGAAACAGAAAACTCTAAACCTGTTATTATGGGACATTAAAGCAGGGCAGGGTGCCTGACCTTTAGGTGATCTGAGCATCAGACTTCCTGCCTACCCGTCCTTGTTCTTCACAGCCTTGGGGAACCTACCATTGCTACTGAGCCTCCTCTCCTTGATGCAGCTGAGGAATGTGTCAGAGGAAGAACTGGACAGCATGGCCATGAAGCTCCTTCACCAAGGTGCCCTGCCTGCTTGAGACAGCACCCATGGGCCCAGGGCTGGGTGTGCAGTGGGTGCTCACGCAGTAGGCTGGTGTTCTTCTTTCTTCTACCCTTTCATCCCTATGGAAGAATTTAGTAGGTCATTCTGTCCCTAGGGGTTTCTTGCTAAAGGACCTGTCAGGGCCTTCTCTGCTTGTTTTCTGGGAATGTTTAGGAGACACCCCACCCCTGCAAAAAATCAGCATATGAGGCCAGGCATGGTGGCTCATTCCTGTAATCCCTATACTTTCGGAGTTTGAGGCAGGAGGATTGTTTGACACCTGGGCAACATAGCAAGACCCTGCCTCTACAAACAGCCAGGTATGGTGGCTCATGCCTATAATCCTAGCACTTTGGGAGGCTGAGGCAACGCATTGTTTGAGCTCAGGAATTCAAGACCAGCCTGGGCAACATGGTGAAACCTTGTCTTTACAAAAAAATTAGCTGTGTGTGGTGATGCAGACCTATAGTCCCAGCTACTTGGAGGGGCCTAGGTGGGAGGATTGCTTCAACTCAAGATGTCGAGGGTGCAGTGAGCTATGATCTCACCACTGCACATAGCCTGGGCAATGGAGTGAGACCTCCTCTCTAAGACAAACAAATCAATGTGTAACAGGCTCGAGAGTCAGGAAGTCCTGGGTTTGAATCTCAGCTTAGTCACTAACAATCATCTAGTCTCTGTGAGCCTTAGGTTCCTCATAGGTAAAGTAGCAGTACTTCCCTGACCTAAGGTTGAATAAGGAATACTTATCTAGTTAGATAAAGAATGTTGGCTGGCCGGGCATAGTGGCTCACACCTGTTAATCTAAGCACTTTGGAGGCCAAGGCAGGCGGATCACCTGAGGTCAGGAGTTCAAGACCAGCCTGACCAACATGGTGAAACCTGATCTTAAAAAATTTTTTTAAAAATACAAAAATTAAGTTGGGCATGGTGGCTCACACCTGTAATCCTAGCACTTTGGAAGGCTGAGGTGGGCGGATCATGAGGTCAGAGGTTCAAGACTAGCCTGACCAACATAGTGAAACCCGTTCTCTATAAAAAATTTTTTTTAAAAAAAGAATGTCACACAGTGTTTGATACACAGTAGGCCTTCAACAGTTGCTATCCATGCAGATTTTTTTTTTCCTGGTACAAGGTCAGCTCTCTACCTCATCCTACAATTGACTCAGATCTGATGATCCAGTTCATAGTTCTCCAGGCTTCTTTCCGATCCACACCTCAGACCTCCTTGGTTTCTCAACTCATGATGCTATCATCACTTCATAGGCAGCATCTACAGGAAGATTTGCTGAGGCAAGGTTGAAATTAATAGGAAAAATAATGTGTCTTCGGTGTCTGTAGATCCCCAGGTCCTCTAGTCACAGGTGAAAATGGGGCACCTTCCTTGCCTGGAGCCCAGTCCTCCTCATGAGAAGAACAGTGTCAGATTCAAAAAAAGGCCACTGGGGACAGGTTGCAGATGGCCTCAGCCTGGTACCAGTCATCACCAGCCTGTCTATGAGATTAAGGATGACACTAAGCTAGGAGGGAGATCTGTGTGTGACAAAGTCAGCCTTCAAAAGAGCCTCTGACAGGGAGTAACAGGCTCAAACCCACACATGAAATATAATAGGGCATTTACATGTAATCCTTGAGCACTTCTATATGATAGCACAGAGAGGAGAGGATTGTGGTTTGGGGTGGAGACCTGCTGGTCTGGGTGACCACAGGCCAATTAGAAGTCAGGGTGTGATATGGCTGCCAAAAAGTGAATGGAGATGTAGGTAGGTTTCCTATTAGGCTGGGGGTAGGGAGATGGGAAGTGGGAGTTCCCAGTAGTAAAGGGATATGTTCTATAGCTATCTACAGTGTAATGCAGTACTCATGAAGCCTGGGAGAATGCAGAAGCAGCATCTAATCTTGCCTTGAGAGGTTAAGGAAGGCTTCAAAGGGGAGACAAACTTTTCACTAAATCTTTTTTTTTTTTTTTTGAGACAGGATTTTACTGTCACCTAGGCTGAAGTGTAGTAGCATGATAACTTGATAACTGCTCACTGCAGCCTCAACCCCTTGTAGATGGAACTACCAGTGTGTGCCACCATGCCCAGCTAATTTTTTGTATTTTTTGTGGAGAGATGGGGGTCTCACCATGTTGCCCAGGTTAGTCTCAAACTCCTGGCCTCAAGCAATCTGCCTGCCTTAGCCTCCCAAAGTGCTGGGATTATAGGTATAAGCCACTGTGCAGTCCTGAGCTGAATCTTGATTGCTGACTAGGACTAGAGGCGTTAGCCAAATGAAGTGATGTGAGGGAGACGATGTGGCAAGTACAGGGAACTGCACTTCATTCAACAGTTAAAGTTCCCTTGGGAAGGTGGTGAAGGTGTTCAAAGGATGCCTTTGAACATCTCAGCTGCTACAGTCTTTCTGGCTAATGTGCAGCTGTAGGCTGCTTGCCTGATGTTTGTCTAGATGGAGGGTGTGAATGTGCCTTAAGGTTTGTCACTGTTTCTTTCCATTGGTTGTAATGTCAGGGAAACTTATTTTATTTATTTATTTATTTATTTTTTTAAAGATGGGGTTTCACCATGATGGCCAGGCTGGTCTTGAACTCCTGACCTCAGGTGGTCCACCCACCTCAGCCTCCCAAAGTGCTAGGATTACAGGCATGAGCCACTGCGCCCGGCTACTTAGTTTGTTCTTGCTCCCCAAGACTGACATCTGAAATAGCCAGTTGCAGGTCACCACCTGTGACAAGTGTGAGTGCTGTGCAATAGGCCGCCTGGGGACTCATCTCTTACAGTGAGCAAGCTGTGTGGGAAGTGCAGCCCCACTGACGTGGATATCCTGCAGCCCTCCTTCAACTTCCTGTACTGGAGCCTTCATCAGACCACACCCAGCAGTCAAAAGAGAGGTGCAGGGGCCTGGGCTGGGACAGTGAAGAGTTCTGGGCAGTGTCTGTGACCCTCTCTACCTCAACTTTTCCATCTTAAAAAAATAGGGTTGTATGTATGGCTGGTGGTCATAAGGTCCTTTCTGGTTCTAATAACCTGAGCTTCTGTTATGAAGCTGGAACCCTTAGAGCCTCAGGATAATCCTTTGTTTGTGAAGCCCCCATCAGGTGTTAAGCACCGTGGCACTTAGCTGGAGCTCCTCTGTAACTCCTGTGGGCCCTGCCCTGCCCACCCCCTGCAGCTGCTGCAGTGCTCCTGAGCAGCACAGGTCTGATGCAGCTTCTGGAGAAGATGATGGCACTCACCTTGACAGAAGCAGACTCTCCCAGGAATGCACTCCTCTGCTCTGCCTGGCTGCTCACCGCCTCTTTATCTGCCCAGCAGCACAAGGGCAGTTTGCAGGTTAGTTTCTAACTCCTGTGGCTTTGAGGCATGGGGTGGCACTCAAAGGAGTGTTGAAGATCCTGAGTTCTGGTCCCAGTTCTGGGGCTTATTAGCTGTGTGACCTTGGCAAGGCATTTACCTTTTCTGAGCTCAGTTTCCTTATGTACAAAATGAGGAAAACATCCCAGGGTTGTTATCAGGTTGGTTTATATTAATCCACTTAACACACAAGATTTACTCACACTCCAGGCTCTATTCTTGGCACAGAGGAATAAAAAATGAATATACCATGTGTCCTACCCTTAGGAAACTTGTAGTCTTGAAAGATAAGATTGTACTCAGCAAAGATAGTGGGGAAAGGCATTCCAGGTAGAGAGAACAATATGAGCAAAGGGATGAAGCTGCACAAATTCAGGACATGGTCTGTATATTTGGGGAGTGGTGAGGTGCTTGTGTGGCGAGAATGTGGGGAATGAATGGAGCAGGTCAGACCAGACAGGGAGGCAGAAGCCAGCCTGTGACCTTGAAGTGCAGCATGGCACGCATTGTAATGCTGCACATGGTTAGCTGTCATTACTGTTCCAGAAGGTGATGCAGGGAAGAGAAGAGAAGTGGACATATCCACAGAGCACCTCCTTTCCCCTCAGCCCCTCCCTCTTGTAGGGTCTTGTCATCACAGTACCCTGTGTGAGCTCCTCTGTGGGCTGCTTCTCATGGAAACCATCTGCTAGCCTCTGTAGTATCCTCACACTGTGCCTAGTACTGTGCCAATCTAGTGATAGGCAGAGAAGTGACATCAGTTTTAAACTTTGACCTCCAGAGGGGCAACAAGCTGTAGCAAATCTATGCTCTGGCAGATCCTGCAGATTATTACCTGTGGTTGGGTTGGTTTAGGACAGAAACCTTTCCTAATTTTCCATGAGGCTACTCGGCCCATCCAGCTCTCTGCATCACCTGCCCAGGAGAAAAGTGGCATTTTGTCCTTGGCTCTGGCCTGGCCCTCAGGTCACACCTAGGCAATTACCTGTTCCTAGCTACCTCCAGTGCCCTAACTCAGGCCTGATCATTCGTCCTCCTCACTAATGTGAGCCACTTACAATCTCCTAGCCACCTGCCTCTTCCCTCTGCATGTCCTATCATTGCAGCCACATTCTGTCCTCACATCCCTTCTGCCCAAGCTCCTTCAACAGGCTTTTTGTCCTCCTCTAGGCCTGGCCCTCTGCAGCCTTACTTTCTGCCATTCCCACCCACCTTCCCTGTCCTCTGGCTAGGAATTTGCACTTCTCCCAGTCAGCTGTGCTCCTTCACATTGCCATACCTTTTTTTTTTTTTTTGTCTGTTTTGTTTATTATTATTATTTTTTTTTGAGACAGAGTTTCACTCTTATTACCCAGGCTGGAGTGCAGTGGTGTGATCTTGGCTTATCGCAACCTCCGCCTCCTGGGTTCAGGCAATTCTCCTGCCTCAGCCTCCTGAGTAGCTGGGATTACAGGCACGTGCCACCATGCCCAGCTAATTTTTTGTATTTTTAGTAGAGACGGGGTTTCACCATGTTGACCAGGATGGTCTCAATCTCTTGACCTCGTGATCCACCCGCCTTGGTCTCCCAAAGTGCTGGGATTACAGGCTTGAGCCACCACGCCTGGCTATTTTGTTTATTATTAATAGACTTCACTTTTAGGACAGTTTTAGATTTATAGAAAAATGGTACAGGTTCCCGACACACACACATAGTTTCATGTTATTAACATCTTACCTTAGTATGATATCTCCATGCTTTTTTACAAGTTGGTTCTTCTGCTAGAACTTGCTGCTTTCAATAGGGGTTTCTAAGGAACTACTTTGTGCCAGACTGATAGAACTAAGCAGAATAGTAGTTCCTCTCTCAGGCAGCCTACATTCTGGCTGAGGAGAGCAGGTTCAATAGCTTTGAACCTGACACCCCAACTAGCCCCTCAATTTGGGCACTGCTTGACATAAAGTCATGTTTACTGATGCTGATCCTCAGCTGTCCCTCACAATAGCTCTGGAGGGAGTGAAAGCAGGTGGGTGTTGTCTTAATTTCATAGATGAAGAAAGTAAGGCATGCTGAGAGAGGTGCAGTGACTTGCCCATGGGCATACAGCTGACAGGTGGCAAAGCCAGGATTTTTATTTTTTAATCGTTTTTTTAAAGAGATGGAGTCTGCTGCCCAGGTTGGAGTGTTGTGGCGCTATCCCAGCTCACTGTAGCCTTGGCCTCCTGGCTCAAGTGATTCTCTCACCTCAGCCTCCTGAGTAGTGGGGACTACAGGTGCATGCTACCATGCCCAGCTAATGTTTTTTGTATTTTCTTGTAGAGATGGGGCTTCACTATGTTGTCCAGCCTGGTCCTGGACTCAAGAAGTCCTCCCACCTCAGCCACCCAAAGTGCTGGGATTACAGGTGTAAGGTGCTGCACCTGACCTGAGAGCCAGGATTTTGATTTAACCTGTCTGACTCCAGATCTTCTGAGTTAGAGGTACAGTGGGCAGAGCCAGAGACTGAACCACAGATGAGGCCAGGGAAGGCTATCTGGTGGAGGAGGCCAATGAGGATGGGAGAGATTTGGGAAAAAAACAGTTCTCCAGGTACAGACTTGATTCTCCTCCTCATGCTTCTGAAGCTAGGACTGGTGCAGCTTGGAAGACTCTGTGGCCTCCTCTGTCCTCTTTTGATGTAGCGGATATGTCAGGGGAGATGGTAGAAGAGATATTCAGGCAGGTTATTTTCTGTTCAAACTTCCAGAATGTTGGGGTTAGCCTTTTACCCTCTGCCCTGCCAGGTTCACCAGACACTCTCTGTGGAAATGGACCAAGTATTGAAAGCTCTCAGCTTTCCAAAGAAAAATGCTGCACTGCTCTCAGGTATGGGTCCACAAGTCTCCAACAGGAGAAGAAAAGCTTTTCGCCTAGGTTTTCATATAGGACCAGCACACAGACCAGCCTGTGGTCACTCCATAATTGTCTCATCTTTGTCTTCCATCCTGTGACAGCACTGGGCGGGAGGTGGGAAGGAGACAGAAACTGGGTGTAAGGAGTCTTCTGCTTCCAGCTGCCATCTTATGCTTCCTGCGGACAGCCCTGCGACAAAGCTTTTCCTCTGCCCTGGTGGCCCTGGTGCCCTCAGGGGCCCTGCCACTGCCAGCCACCGAGAACACTGTCTTAGCTCCACTGCGAACATCACAAGTGCGGTCCCTGGTCATTGGGCTGCAGAACCTCCTGGTGCAGGTAAGGCCTTTGCTGAGTGGGCCCAGGCAGTGGGGCTTGCTTCTGCCAGGACAATGGCAGGAAGGGGCAGCTGCCTGTCAAGGTCCTGATATTCCTACCAGGGCTTGGAGGGTGGATTGAGTGAGACTTAAAAAAAAATTATTATTATTATTTTTTAATTTTAAAATACAGACAAGGTCTTGCTATATTGCCAGGCTGGTATCAAACTTCTGGCCTCAAGTGATCCTCGTACCTCAGCCTCCAAAAGTGCTAGGATTACAGGCATAAACCACCATGCCCTGCCTGGTTAAGACTTTTAAAGCTACAGTGACAGAAACAAAACTCAAACTGGTTTATAACTAAGAAGTCCTGGGGTCAGTACTGGCATTAGGCACAGCATGATCCCAGAAGCTCAGACAAGGTTATCAGACTCCATCTCTTGGCTCTGCATTCCTCACTGTCAGCTTTATTCTTATGAGACAGTAGGATGACCAGCAGTAGCTTCTAGCTTATATCCTCTGGGAAAAAGATTCTCTTTCCCCATAGTTCCCAGAATTGAGTCTCATTAGGCTGGCTTGGGTAAAATGTCTCATGGCTGAGAATCTCAAGCGATTTTTCCACCTCAGCCTCCTGAGGAGCTGGGACCACATCCTATGGCTGGGGCATAGGATGCCCTGAGTAGCCTGGTTTGGGTCAGTGCCCTCTCCTGGAGGCCAGGGTATATGATCAGCTCTCCATAGCCCAGGTGGGCTAGAGAGAGGGATGGTTCCCTAGGAAAAACTGCCACCACAAGAAGGAGGGGATCCAGGGTAAGCGAAAGCATGTCTGCCTGCAAGTGGGTTGTGTTTTATGGCTTAGGGGACACTTGGAGATCAGTGTTTACCTTACCCATCACATCCTGAGTCCCTGACCCAATGTCATGGCCTGTGAAGGGTACTGGGAGTCCCAAGAAAATGTCCCAGGAGTGGGCCCTATGCTAAGTCAGTGGTTGCTTAGTCTTGTCTTGTGGCACATCCGTGCACAAGGCTCTTGCTCTTTTTTTTTTTTTTTTGAGACAGAGTCTTGCTCTGTCACCCAGGCTGGAGTGCAATGGCGTGATCTCGGCTGACTGCAAACTCTGCCTCTCTGGTTCAAGTGATTCTCCTGACTCAGCCTCCTGAATAGCTGGGACTACAGGCGTGTGCCACCACACCCAGCTAATTTTGTATTTTTAGTAGAGACAGTTTCACCACATTGTCCAGGCTGGTCTCAAACTCCTGACCTTGTGATCCATTCGCCTCGGTCTCCCAAAGTGCTGGGATTACAGGTGTGAGCCACCAGCCTGGCCGGCTCTGTGCTCTTGAGGATCAAACATCTATCCCATTATGGCACTCAGCTCTTTCTATTTCAAGTTTCCATTTTCATATCATTCTTCCCCCCACCAGGCTGTGATATACTCAAGGGCAGGGTTATCTTATCTGAGTCTGGTTAATCGTTGTGTCTACTTCCCCTTGTGGGTTTAGAGCTAATTTACAATTCAGAAATCAGATGAGAACCAAAACATCAGCTTTATTGCTGGTAAACATCATACTAGAATATTGGCTGAGACTCTGGGTCAGAATGGCCTTTTTTTTTCCTGCAATTTTTCAAACATATGGCAATGAGAGAACTTTGTTTGTTTGTTTTGAGACAGACTCTTGCTCTGTTACCAGTCTGGAGTGCAATGGTGCAATCTTGGCTCACTGCAACCTCCGGCTCCTGGGTTCAAGCGATTCTTCCACCTCAGCCTCCTGAGGAGCTGGGACCACAGGTGCGTGCCACCATGCCCAGCGAATTTTTGTATTTTTAGTAGAGACAGGGTTTCATCATGGCCAGGATGGTCTCGATCTCCTAACCTTGTGATCCGCCCACCTTGGCCTCCCAAAGTGCTGGGATTACAGGTGTGAGCCACTGTGCCTGGACTGAGCCACTGCACCCGGCTGAGAGAATTTTACAGTGAACACTCATACACCCACCACCTAGATTATATGAATAACATTTTATTATACTTGCTTAATCCTACCTGTCTAAAATGAGCTTTCTAAACCACCTTCTTTCTCCTTGCCAGACCAGGGGTCCATAGGTGGGAACTGTGTTTGCATTACGGACACTGAGCCAGCTGGCCAGGATCTTAAGAGTTTAAACTGATGGGAGTATAACCTTTAATACCTTAATCCTGCCCTGATGGCATGGTAAATCTTAAGCTAGTGTCTTGCCTGTTAGATGAAACCTTCTTTGGGTGAGGAGGGCGAGTTAGGGAAATGCTTTCCCCCTAATGTTTCTAAAAGGGCTGATGTTCCTGTTTTAACATTCCGAACAGGAGGAGTAAGGGGAATGATTTCCCAGTACCTAGCACAGAGCTTGGCACAAAATTGGCATTTGGGAATGTTTGTTGAATGGATGGAAACCATGGAAATTAATACGACATGATCCCAACCATGTAGGCAGATTATAGGAAACACAAATAATTACATGTAATGCCAAAATCACCTTTTAGCAGTTGAGCATGCCTAATACAAAAGTCCAAAATCCAAAATGCCCAATGAGCATCTGCTTTGAGCATCATGTTGGTGCTCAAAAGTTTTAGATTTTGGAGTATTTTGTATTTCAGATATTTTTTTTTTTGAGACGGATTTTCGCTTTTTACCCGGTTGCTGGAGTGCAATGGCGCAATCTCAGCTCACTGCAACCTCCATCTCCTGGGTTCAAGCAATTCTCCTGCCTCAGCCTCCTGAGAACCGTGCCCAGCTAATTTTTAGATTTTTAGTAGAGACAGGGTTTCACCATGTTGACCAGGATGGTCTCGATCTCTTGACCTTGTGATCCACCTGCCTTGGCCTCCCAAAGTGCTGGGATTATAGGCATGAACCACCGTGCCCGGCCTCGGATATTTGGATTACAGACAGTCAACCTGTATTTGTTTTTTTGTTTGTTTTTGAGATGAAGTCTCCCTCAGTTGCCCAGGCTGGAGTGCAGTGGTGTGATCCCAGCTCACTGCAACCTCCGCCTCCTGAGTTCAAGTGATTCTCTCGCCTCAACCTCCCAAGTAGAACTACAGGTACGCACCACAACGCCTGGCTAATTTTGTATTTTTAGTAGACGTGGGGTTTCACATTGGCCAGGCTGGTCTTGAATTTGACTTAAAGTGATTCACCCCTTTGGCCTCCCAAAGTGGTGGGATTATAGGAGTGCTCAGTCTTAACCTGTATTTGAATCAAGGAAAGCTGCACAGGAGAAGCAGCATTTGAACTGGACCTTTAGTGATAAAAAAAAAAAAAAAGCCTTCTTCAAACCAATAGCCTTAACACTAGGGGGAGGTGCCAGTGAGTTTTTGTTTGAGACAGAGTCTTGCTCTGTCACCCAGGCTGGGGTGCAATGGTTCAATCCCAGCTCACTGCAACCTCCGCCTCCTGGGTTTAAGTGATTCTCCTGCCTCAGCTTCCTGATTAGCTGGGATTACAAGCGCACGCCACCAGGCCCAACTTTTTTTTGTATTTTTAATAGAGATGGGCTTTCATCATGTTGGCCAGATTGTTCTCAAACTCCTGACCTCAGGTGATCCACCCACCTTGGCCTCCCAAAGTGCTGGGATTACAGGTGTGAACCACCATGCCCAGCTCCCAGTGAGGTATTATATAGCACTTTCCCCATTTTCCCCTCATGCCCAAGAGCCTAGGTGTCTCCCTGGCCTGTGATACTCAACTCTGCCTCTGGCAACTGTTTATTTTTGTTTTTGAGACAGAGTCTTGCTCTGTCACCCAAACTAGAGTGCAGTGGCATGATCATGGCTCACTGCCACCTTAACCCGCTAGGCTTAAGTGATCCTGCCACCTCAGCCCCCAGAATAGCCAGGACTACAGGTATATACCACCATACCCAACTAATTTTAAAATACTTCTGTATTTGTAGTGAGACCAGGTACAGTGGCTCATGCCAGTAATCTCAGGAGGCCGAGGTGGGTGGATCACTTAAGGTCAAGAATTCGAGACCAGACTGGCCAACATGGTGAAACCCTTATTAGCCAGGTGTGATGGCGTGCGCCTGTAATCCCAGCTACTTGGGAGGCTGAGGCAGGAGAATCACTTGAACCCGGGAGGTGGAGGTTGCAGAGAGCCAAGATCGTGCCATCACACTCCAGCCTGGGTGACAAAGCAAGAGTCTGTCTCAAACAATACATTAAAAATAAAATAAAATACGTTTGTAGAGATGATATCTCACTATGTTGCTCAGGCTGGTCTTGACCTCCTGGGCTCAAGCAATCCTTTGGTGTTGGCTTCCCAAAGTGCTAGGATTACAGGTGTGAGTCATTGCACCTGGCCTTGTTTTAATTGTAATTAACTGTATATAACATAAAATTTAGTATTTTAATCATTTTAAGTATATAGGTCAGTTGCATTAAGTACATTCACGTTGTTGTGCAACCTTCATCATCCTCCATCTCTAGATGGATCTTTTTCATCTTCCCACACTGAAACTCTGTACCCATTAAACAACTCCCAAGTCCCCCTCACCTGGCATCCACGATTCTATTTGCTATCTCTATGGATTTGACTACTCTAGGGACCTCATATAAGTGGAATCATGTATTTGTGTCTCTGGCAGTTTTTGACTGCCTGTTCTCAACAGTCCCTGGAAGGGGAACCCAGCCTCAGCAGCTCATGACTCCCTATAGAAGCTGCTGGGACTACCCTGATTATAGGAGGGTATTGCTGAGGAGCCTGTCTTAGCCTCACAGTCACTGCCCCTATAACTGCCTAGTGAACAGGACCAAGTAGTCTTTTCCTCTTTTCTCTCACTGCCATACTCCCTAGAAATTTCCTGGCCTTCTGTGTTCAGCCACAGTGCCCCCTCTGTCACTGGCCAGGACCTCGTGGCTAGAGCTAAGCCTCCTTCATTCCCTTCTACCAGTTTGTTTAAAACTAGCAGGGTGTGTGTGTGTGTGTGTGTGTGTGTGTGTGTGGTTTTTGTTTTTTTGAGACAGACTCTCATTCTGTTGCCCAGACTGGATTGCAGTGGCATGATCGTAGCTCACTGAGCTCACTGCAACCTCTGCCTCCCAATTTCAAGCGATTCTCGTGCTTCAGCCTCTCGAGTAGCTGAAATTACAGGCACCTGCCACCATGCCTGGCCAATTTTTATATTTTTAGTAGAGACAGGGTTTTACCATGTTGGCCAGGCTGGTCTCAAACTCCTGGCCTCAAGTGATCTGCCTGCCTTGGCCTCTCGAGTAGCTGAGATTACAGGCACCTGCCACCATGTCTGGCCAATTTTTTGTATTTTTAGTAGAGACAGGGTTTTAGCTTGTTGGCCAGGCTGGTCTCAAACTCCTTGCCTCAAGTGATCCACCTGCCTTGTCCTCCCAAAGTTGAGATTATAGGTGTGAGCCATAGTGCCTGGTCTTAAAAGTAGCTTTTTATTCATTCATTCATTCATTTGTTCAATCATTCATACATTCAGCAAACATTTCTTCCACAGTAATCCATAAATAGAGGAAATCCCTCTCCCTTGAGCTCCCAGAATGGTTGATTCAGCTCTGTATTGAGTATCATGTCAATCATATTTTATTACATGATCAATGGTTTACATTGTCTTCTTCCACAAAACTGAAAACTTCCTTTTAGGCAAAAATGTCCCCCACGTGGGAAGTCAAAGGCTTCACAGAGAAGGTGACATTTGAACTCAGCCTTGATAGGTATCTTGGCAGAGGTATAGAGGGAAAGGCGTTCCAGCAGGATGACAGCATGTACAAAATCACAGTCTGAAAGTGCATGCTGGGCTGTAGAGTGTAATGAGGTAGAAAATGAGACTAAAAAGTTGGGCAGAGCCAAAGTGAGCTGTACCTCATACAGTAGGCTAAGAATTGCTGTGGGAACTGGGGAAGGACATCTGTCAGACTGTGTGAAAGTTCCCTCTCAGGCTGAGTGCTATGGCTCATGCTTATAATCCTAGCACTCTGGGAGGAAAAGGTGGGTGAATTGCTTGAGTCTAGGAAATCCAGACCAGCCTGGGCAACACAGCGCAACCCCATCTCTATAAAAAATACAAAAAAATTAATTGGGTATGGTGGCACATGCCTGTAGGCCCATCTACTCAGGAGGCTGAGATGGGAGGATCACCTGAGCCCAGGAGGTTGAGGCCGACGTGAGCTATTATCACAACACTGAGCACCAACCTGGGTGACAGAGGGAGACCTGCGTCTCAAAAGAAAAAAAAAGAAAGTAAGTTCCCTCATACCCATGAGGGTTGCTAAAATAAGAATACAGATAATATCAGGTGTTGGCAGGAAGGTGGAGAATGTCCATACAAAACCTTGTATCTGAATGTTCATAGCAGCACTATTCATAATAATGAAAAAGTGGAAACAGCCCCAATGTCCATCAACTGATAAACAAATTGTATATCCGTACAAGAAATATTATTTGACCATATAAAGGAATGAAGTACTGACAAATGCTACAACATGGATGACTCTTGAGCACATTAAGTTAAAGAAGTCAGACATAAAAGAGCACATATGATTTTGCTTATGAGAAATGTCTGGAAAAGGAAAATCTATAGAGACAGAAAGTGGATTAGTGGTTGCCTAGGACTGAGTGGAAGGATAGGGGAACAAAGAGTGACTGTTGAGTATGAGGTTTCTTTTTAGGAGTGATGAAAATATTATGGAATTATACTGCTGTGCAACTCTGTGTATATAATAAAAACTACTGAATTATATCTTTTAAAGGATGAATATTATGGTTCCTGAATTATATCTCAATAAAACTATCCTTTAAAAAACTGATGTCAAGGGAGAAAAATGACAATGAAGACTAAGCTAGGGCTCTGAGTGCTGGTCCTCCTTGATACCTCTAGGCCAAAGCAGCCTGGCAGCACCAGCACTACAAACTGAGTGCTGGTCAGCTATGCAGAATCTTCAGCAGTCGGGTAGCCGAGTGTAATGCAGTTGAAGGTACAATATCTAGAGTCACAGGGATCTGTGTCAAAGCCCCTGCCCAGCCTCTGACTCTGAAGATGTTTAGCAAGTCACTTACTAATCTTCATGTTCTCCATCTGCAAAATACAAGGGGTGTTTTGACATTAAACAATATGAGCCCATGAGAACAGCCTCCATTCCTGAGGGAATGGAACATGGTGGAGGAAAATGTTAGTTGAAATCAGACTAGAGAGTGTCCAGGGTCCACCATGCTGGGTCACATGGGGTAAAGGGGCAGGTCAGTGGCAGCAGAGGGCTCTGAATAAGGGCTGTGGGCACTGGAGTGATAAGGGTGGTATGGGGGTGAGGAGGAGGCAGGGGCCAATTTCCCATCTGCTCAGTTCTGAGGCCACAGGACTGGAATATATCTCTGAATGTCTCTGGAGTAATGGCACATCAAGTCCTTCTCATACTTCAAATCAATTTTTTAATTGTGACACCAGAAAAAGGAAACTCTACTCTTCTAAAGGGCCTGTGCTAAGATTAGACTGGGCTCATCCAGTCTTCCTTTTTCCATTAACGTAATCATAGTAATAATATCTGGATGCAAAAGTCATGGGCCAACTTAAATTTCTGCCTACCACATATGATAAGTGTATATTTAACTTTATAAGAAACCATCAAATTGTTTCCCAAAGTGGAGGCACCATATTACCTTCCCACCAGCAATGTATGAGTGCCAGCTGTTCCACATTCTCCTCAACACTTGGTGTTGTCAGACTTTTTAACTTTAGCTATTGGTAGATGTACAGGGGTACCTCATAGTAGTTTTAATTTTCATTTCCCTAATGACTAATGATAAATATTTTCACGTGCTTATTACAGCATATAATTTTGAAGAAAGGTCCTGTTGCTTTAAAAAAAAAAAAAAAAAGGTTGGGCTGGGCGTGGTGGCTCACGCCTATAATCCAAGCACTTTGGAGGCCAAGGCTGGCAGATCACCTGAGGTTGGGAGTTCAAGACCAGCCTGACCAACATGGTGAAACCCCATCTTAAGAAAAAAAAAAAAAGGTTGAAACCCACTGGCTTAAATAAACTGTGAGCCTCTTCCAAGGTCTGTTATCTGGGAATCTTTTAGTGTGGCCTAGGGTCCATCTTCTTTACTGAAACAACGCACTCTTTTTTTTTTGAGACAGAGTTTTGCTCTGTCACCCAAGCTGGTGTGCAGTGGTCCAATCTCAGCTTACTGCAACCTCTGCCTCCTGGGTTCAAGCAATTCTGCTGCCTCAGCCTCCCGAGTAGCTGGGACTACAGGTGTGCACCACGATGCCCAGATAATTTCTATATTTTTAGTAGAGATGAGGGTTTCACCATGTTGGCCAGACTGGTCTCAAACTCCTGACCTCAGCTGATCCAGCTGCCTCAGCCTCCCAAAGTGTACAAGCAGGAGCCACCATGCCCAGCCCAAAGCACTCTCTTGAATGTAGATAAATCACGCAGTATAAGCACTGTGCTCTGTATGAGGGTGAGAGATGAAGCCACAAACATTTCTTGATTATCTACAGGGGTATAATCCCAAATATGAAATTCTGAAATCCAAGTATCGCTGAAAACCAAATGTTTTTTCTTGGTTGGCACCAAAACCAAACGGTAGAAAAACCTGACCTGAACTCATTTTTTTCTACAGAAGGACCCTCTATTGTCCCAGGCCTGTGTTGGCTGCCTAGAGGCCTTGCTTGACTACCTGGATGCCCGGAGCCCAGATATCGGTAGAAATTCTCCACATTCTATGATGTTCCCATGAAAAAGATTGGAGGGTGCCAGCCCGTTCCACCCTCCTGCTCCAGCCTTCCATCCCATTGTGTGATTCATACTTGTTTTGTTTAATTCTTTTAGCAGCACTGCAAGGGCAGTCATGCCCATTATACAGATGAGGTCACTAAGGTTGAGAAAGGTCAAATGATGAGCCCAACCAAGGTCCCGATGCTCTTAAGTGGAAGAGCCCTTCTTACTGCCTGCCTTCCACAATTGTGGCATATATAGTTTCACTGAGCCAGTCAGCATAGGTGGATCAGGAGCCCAGGGAAGAAAGAACCCTCCTTGGGTCAGCTTGTCCAGTACCCTGCACCTGACTGGGTAGCTCCTTTTTTAAGCCAATAGGAGAAGATCCTCTTTGTCAATGTCCCAAGGTAAGGCCTTGGAAGCATTAACAACCCTGCATTTCTTGAAGCTCTCCATGTGGCCTCCCAGCCTTGGAATCGGTTTTTGCTGTTTACCCTCTTGGATGCTGGAGAGAATTCCTTCCTCAGACCTGAGATCTTGAGGCTCATGACCCTGGTAAGTGCAGAAAGGATATCTTGTAGTCTGAGGAGTGTCATGAGCTGGGTGGTGCTGAAGAGACCAGGGACACCTTACTTTAGGTAACTCTAATTCTTTTTTTTTTTTTGAGACGGAGTTTCGCTTGTTACCCAGGCTGGAGTGCAATGGCGTGATCTTGGCTCACCGCAACCTCCGCCTCCTGGGTTCAGGCAATTCTCTTGTTTCAGCCTCCTGAGTAGCTGGGATTACAGGCACGCGCCACCATGCCCAGCTAATTTTTTGTATTTTTAGTAGAGATGGGGTTTCACCATGTTGACCAGGATGGTCTCAATCTCTTGACCTCGTGATCCACCCACCTCGGCCTCCCAAAGTGCTGGGATTACAGGCTTGAGCCACTGCGCCCGGCCGGTAACTCTAATTCTTAAAGAAGGTGGAGGTTGGGCAGGCCTTCACCCTACAAGAGGCCTGCTCAGAGAATTCCTCTGAATACCCATATCTCCTCACTCCAGGGGACCCTGAGACCTTTTCTCCTATTTCTCTCATGACATGTTGACCAGGACCTGTCTACCACATGCCAGGTCTGCTAGGTACTAAGGATGTCAATGAACCAGATGCTCTGCCTTTAGGGTCCCTCAGTTTAAAGAAGGGGATATACAAGTAAACTAATAATATAAATATGTAATAGAAGTGGTAGAGTAGAGGAGATGCTAACTGTAGGGGACATAGTAAGTACCCCTTGAATAAATAACAAAGCATCAAACCTATGAATGACAGCAAAGTGGACCCAGAAATACATCAGTGGTTGGCAGAGGAACAAAGAGGAAAGAGTAATTGCTACTCAGCAGTGAAGGTAACATTTTAGTTGTGGCTTGAGAGATTCATAGGCAGAGAGGAAAGGTATTCCAGGTAGTGAAGTAAGAGCAACAGGTACAAGAGCACATGGTGGTATGTCAGGGGAGCCACATGTACTTCATTTTGGCTGAGTGTTCAGTGCAAGGATAGGGAGGAGGGAGCTAAGGCCAAAGGGGCCAGGAGGGCCAGCTCTCTTAGGATCTCAGTTTGCCTTACTTACCCCACTTCCCCATGACACAGCCCCACCCCTGCCCGCTAACTCTGAGCTCCTTGAAGGCAGGGAGGTTCTATGGGCTTCTGGAGAGTGTCCCCTAAAGTTGAGGGACAGCAGATGTTTATGATGGAGATGCCAAATCACTGCGTGTTTGGGGCTTCTCTTCCTGGGCCAGTTTGTGCGGTACCGGAGTAGCAGTGTCCTCTCTCATGAAGAGGTGGTTGACGTTCTGCAAAGTGTGGCTTCAGCTGACCTGTCTACCCTCTCAAACACCACACTCCAGACCCTGGATGGCTTCTTCCAGCAGGTGGGTGGGAAGGGGAGGCCATGCATCCACTGTATGGCTAGACCCTCAAGATCATCTTATCCTGGAGGATGGGAGCTCTGGCCACAGCAGCCTAGGAACACCTAAGAATAGGAGGCTGGAAGTACAGAGGATGGAGGCAGTTGGGGCCTGTGTGGAGTAGGCACTGAGGAGGCCTGTCTTCCCTGCCCTCTTATCCCTGCAGCTCCAGAGCATGGGCCTCCTGGCTGACCACAGCATGGCACAGACCCTGCAGGCCTCCTTGGAGAGCCTTCTCCCTAGCACCACCTCGGTCCAGCCACCCCTGCAGGACATGCTGTATCCTTTCTTGCATCTGGAAGCCTTGGCCTGGGCAAACTCTCCCAGGCGATAGGAAGCTGTGGCATCATGCTTCAGGAAAGAGAGGTGCACTACAGTCCTGTCTTCTAAAGTAAGCAGGGCTCATGAGGTTAATAGCATTGACAACAACAATGCCATATCCTGTTTGTAAGTTCCTACAGAGACCAGGCATATTACATGCATTATATTTAATCCTCACATCAGCTAGGGGTGTTAGTTGCAGTACAGGTTGAGCATCCCTAATATAAAAATTAGAAATCCTCAGTGCCAAGTTCTGGGGAAAAAAAAAATTAGAAATCCAGGGCCAGGTGCAGTGGCTCACGCCTATAATCCCAGCACTTTGTGGGGCTGAGGCAGGCAGATCTGGAGTTCAAGACCAGCCTGGCCAATATGGTGAAACCCTGTCTCTACTAAAAAGACCAAAATTAGCCAGGCGTGGTGGCACGCGCCTGTAGTCCCAGGTCCTTGGGAGGCTGAGGCAGAAGAATTGCTTGAACCTGGGAGGCTGAGGTTGCCATGAGCTGAGATAACACCATCACACTCCAGCCTGGGCAACATGGTGAGACTCTGTCGCAAAAAGAAAAAAGAAATCCAAAGGGTTCCAAAATCTGAAACTTTTTGAGTGCTGAGTGGAAAATTTCATACATGACCTCACATGATGAGTTAGAGTCAAAACTTTGTTTCATGAATAGGCTGGGTGCAGTGGCTCACACCTCTAATTACAGGACTTTAGGAAGCCTTGGCAGATCACTTGAGGCCAGGAGTTTGAGACCAGCCCGGCCAATACAATGAAATCTCATCTCCACGAAAAATACCAAAATTAGCTAGGTGTGGTGGCATGCGCCAATAGTCCCAGCTACTCAGGAGGCCGAGGCACAAGAATCACTTGAACTGGGGATATGGAGGGCACTGAGCCGAGATCATGTCACTGCATTCCAGCATGGGCGATAAAATAAGACTCTGTCCCAAAAACCCCAAAATTTTTGTTCATTTTTTTCATTAATATAATTATTATTTTCAGTATTCTTTTTTTTTTTTTTGAGACAGTGTCTGACTTTGTCACCCAGGCTGGAGTACAGTGGTGTGAACATAGCTCATTGCAGCCTTGACCCCCAGAGCCCAAGGGATCCTCCTGCCTCAGCCCTGCAAGTAGCTGAGACTATGGGTGCGTACCACCATGCCTGGCTAATTTTTGCATTTTTTGTAAATACGGGGTTTAACCGTATTGCCCAGGCTTGTCTCAACTCCTGAGCTCAGGCAATCTGCCTGCCTTGGCCTCCCAAGTGCTGGGATTATAGGCATTAGCAATCGTGCCTGGCCCATGAACAAAATTATTAAAAACAGGCACCAGGTGCAGTGGCTCACGCCTGTAATCCCAGCACTTTGGGAGGCTGAGGTGGGCGGATCACCTGAGGTCAGGAGTTTGAGATCAGCCTGGCCAATATGGTGAAACCCCATATCTACTAAAAAATACAAAAATTAGTCAGGCGTGGTAGCATGTGCCTGTAAACCCAGCTACCCAGGAGGCTGAGGCAGAGGCTGCAGTGAGCCAAGATCACACCACTGCATTCCAGCCTGGACAACAGAGCCAGACTCCATCTAAAAAAAAAAAAGCTTGGGGGACGGGTGCAGTGGCTCATGCCTGTAACCCCAGCACTTAGAGAGGCCCAAGGCAGGTGGATCACTTGAGATCAGGAGTTCCGAAACCAGGCTGGCCAACATGGTGAAACCATCACTATTAAAAATACAAAAATTAGCTGGGCATGGTGGTGCACACCTGTGATCCAAGGTACTTGGGAGGCTGAGGCAGGAGAAGCGCTTGAACCCAAGAGGTGGTTGTTGCAGTGATCCGAGAGAAGAGATTGCACCACTGCACACTTCAGCCTGGGCAACAGAGACTGTGTCTCCAAAAAAAAAGAAAGCTTGGGGCTGTGGCAGTGGTCAGAGGCCCTCTGGTGAATGGTTGCATCCAGAGACAATGCAGTCCAGTGACACTGCAGTCCACAGGTGTGTGTGAGGGTAAGTTTCTTCCTCCGCACTCTGGCTGCCTCCCTGGCTTTCCTCCTTGCCCTTTCTGTGGAATCGTTTCCTGTTGTATAGCAACTATCTAGCCCAGGTGTTCAGGACCCAATTTCAGAATCCATCCCACTATTCCTAGGAACACTTCTATTCTTCCTGGACCATTCTTGACTGTTTTGGGCTTTGGAAGTGTGATGCCCCTGTAGTTGGCCCCACCTCTCCACTGTTTTCCTCTCATGTTTTGCTACCAGCTGCTTGGGAGGGGTGGCTGTATCCCTGTCCCACATCAGAAACTGATTCTCAGGACTTGAAGGCCCAGAAATGGAGAATGAAACCTGGAGACAAAGACCATAATTGTTGGGGACATGAATGACTGCTAAAGCTATTCATCTGGAGCCATATACTCTATTGTTGAAATAGAATAAGGAAATAAAATGATACACTCACATACCTGTGTGGGCTTTCCAAAAACATTGCACTACCTTGTCTACCAGTAGCTGGTTTCTCAGCCAGTTTGATAAGGGATTGTTTGAAGAATGATGGTCTCGTCAGGGAGAGAGGTGACAGGATTTGCTCTGGTAACAGCACTCAATAATCAGCTGGGTACCTCGGATGTACTCAGAGGACAACAGTAAGGCCGTCATGGGGATGGCAGGGCAGAGAAAGGCCACGGGTTGGGGTTGCTGTTTTCCAAGTGCTCCAAGAGGCACTAGACCTGCTCCTTGCCTCACGTGGAGGTGGAGAGAGGTAAATTATCCAGGAAGAGAGTCAAATACTTTCGTTCAGCCTTCCTAGCTGAACGAAACTGTCCCAGCCTCAGCCCTTCCCTGGCTAAAGTAGGTCCCCTCTGTCCCTTCCCGCACAGCCCTTTTCAGAACTGGTGTTCATGCACCCTCGTGGGCAGGTATTGGGAAGGAATGTCCAGCTCGGCCCCCGGCATGCGGTCTGCTCTCGACGGTGCCTGCACCTGTTCCGAACTCAGCCCAGACCGGGCCTCCAGCTCCCTTCCCGCCCGACAGGGGCCCCAGGCGCGGACCTGGCCATACCACGCTGCCTCCTCGGGTCTGGATGTCCTGATTCTGCGCCAAAGTGGGGCTGCATTCGGCCTAATGAACGGAGAAGCCCCCGATGCACTTGGTTTATTAGTTGGTGGACTGGAGGGTCGAGCAAGGGATGCTCGAACCTCGCACTGCGTCTGTAAGGTCCTTAAAGAAGAAAAACGTGCTAGTCACCGCCCACTAAACTCACCTTGCAACCTAAAATTTAAAAATCCGGCCACAGACTACGACACAGTTTCGGGGAGAGCGCACAGAAGGACGCCGGGCCGACAGAAGCCGGGGCCCCAGTTTGCTGATTAGCTTCTTAAATTGGGCACACACCCCACCTGCAGATTTACTTCCTCCAACCCAAGCTAAATCCAGAGCCAGGTACCCGGGACCCGCAGGAGCAGCAGCGTAGGATGGGCGAGACCACACCAAAGCACACTGCGCACCAGAGGCGCGCCGGAGATTTGCGGGACTGAGCGGCGGGGAGGGGCCGGAAGTGAGGCCAGCAGAGTCCGGCGGTCGCGGCTCGCGTTCATTGGCCGGGGTCGGCGCGGTGGGCGGGACGACGCTGGATGGTCTGTGAGCGGCAGCTAGCCGGGTGCTCCTGCTTTCAATGCGTTTGGTGTTAGCGTGGTGGACCCTCGAGCCCAACTGCACTCACAGGACCCAGCCACCTGCCCTTTCCTGTACCATTTGGCCAGGTAGATGGCGGTGGGGGCGGCGGGCTGCAGTTTCCTGGGGAGGATAATGAGGAAACTGAGGGGCCTGAACCTACTGCTGGTGATGGGGAGGGAGTTTCGCGGACCTGGACGCCTCTGTTTCTTGAAAAGGCTCGTTCCCTCCTCCCGGAGCCCCGAAGTCTCGGGGACAACCACTCGGGTCTCCCCGACCCCGGGTAGCCTTAAGCTGTTAAGGCGTGCCACTACCAGGTCACCTCTGCACGTGTTCAGAGCCTCACTGAGCCAGGAGGAGCTCCGGGGAACGCACAGGGCAGGATTGGGATTGAGAGGCTGAAAAAGTGAGTGTAACAGTGGAGAAAGCAAGACCTGTCCCGCAGTCTATTGTTTTGGCTTTTCTTTCCCACGTCAGCTTCAGTCATTGCCAGCTGTCTAGTATTCTTCTTGGCCCCTAAAGTTTTGCCCTAGCCTGGTTCTGGTGGTTCCCTTGAGTTTGGAGCAGGAGGTGGAATATAGAGGGTTCGGGGTGAACTTGGACTATTCCTTCTCTAGGTTTCACTTGTCTCGTCTGCTTAAACGTAGGGGGTTCTCCGGATGACCTCTGCAGCCCCTCACTGTCTGTAACTGAGCATCTCTTCCCTGGGCAAGTGTCCTGGTAGTTCAGTAACCAGCTCTGATCTCAGGTGTGCTCATTTAGAAAGAGGAGACAGAGTACTGGACTTAGAGCCAGACTCTTGGTTCAGCCTGCGAATAGCTGTGTGACTTTGGGCAGTCACCTCATTTTTCTGTGCCTTGATTTCACATTGGTAACATTGGGGAGTTGTAATCTGAGTGTGAGACCTCTCCTGACCACTGTGTGTAATGTTGCATCTGACTGACACCCTCTCATCCTTCTGTGCTTGTTTTACAAGTTTATTGATTGTCTCTTATCCCTACTAGAGACATAAGTACCATGAGTGCAGAGATTTTTGCCTGTCTTATTTACTGCTGTATTCCCACCTCTAGAACAGTGCCTAGATTGTGGTAGGTACTGTCAACCTAAATAACAGAGTGAGAGACACTAAAAAAAATGATGTTTACTTGGGAATAAATATTGTAGTGACCGAATATGTGTGCCATAGTAACCTGTGTACATATTTGGGGAGGTAAAAGAAGACAAAAATTGTTTCTTTTTTTTTTTTTAAGGGAGTCACACTGCCTCCCAGGGTGGAGTGCTGTGGCATGATCTTGGCTCACCGCAACCTCCACCTCCTGGGTCAAGCGATTCTCCTGCCTCAGCCTCATGAGTAGCTGGAACTACACGTGTGTGCCACCACCCACAGCTAATTTTTGTATTTTTAGTAGAGATGGGGGTTTCACCATGTTGGATGGTCCTGATCTCTTGACCTCATGATGTACCCACCTCGGCCTCCCAAAGTGCTGGGATTACAGGTGTGAGCCACCGGGCCCAGCAACAAAGGATTTTAAGGGAAAAATGAGGAGGATTACATAATTATTTTGAGATAGTTATCCTTGGCTACAAGGTTGAATAACAAGAGTGGTGCCAGTGTGATGTTGGACAGGCAGTTGCAGGGCAGATGTCCTCACAGAAATATTTTTCTGTGTAAGTTTGCAATGGCCTTTGTGCAGGGTTGTGGTTTTTGCATTTTTTCTGATAGTTCTTGTTATCAGTCGTTTGTGCATGAGAACCCTCCTTTCACAACCTTCCTTGGCTCTATGTGTCAGTTTTTCCCATGGAGAATCATGCTTTAAGTTTGTCAACATTTTTAACACAAACTACTCTGTTTTGATTCCAACAACTTTCACATTTCCCCTTTTGGTCAAGATCTTTCTCCAAAAGCATTACTGATCAATCATCCTGTAGTTAGGTCCCTCAGTGCTGGGACAGACCTATCCTGGGTTGTTGGTGTCTTCCCACGTTGGAGGGAGTTATTGGTGACTAGGAGTCATTGTCAAAACCCTTAGAGTGGCTGGGAGCAGTGGCTCACACCTGCAATCCCTGCACTTTGGGAGGCTAAGGAGGGAGTATCACTTGAATCCAGAAGTTTGAGACCTGCCTGGACAACATGACAAAACCCTGTCTCTACAAAAAACACAAAAATTATCCAGGCATCGGTGGGGGAGAGTGCAGGGGGGAGTTGGGTAGAGAATCACTTAAGCTTAGGAGTTTGAGGTTATAGTGAGCTGTGATTCTACTGCTGCACTCACTCCAGCCTGGATGACAGAGCGAGACCTTGTCTTAAAAAACCCAAAATAGGCTGGGTGCGGTGGCTCATGCCTATAATCCCAGAACTTTGGGAGGCCGAGGCGGGTGGATCACGAAGTCAAGAGATCGAGACCATCCTGGTCAACAAGGTGAAAGCCCGTCTCTACTAAAAATGCAAAAATTAGCTGGGCATGGTGGTGTGCGCCTGTAGTCCCAGCTACTCAGGAGGCTGAGGCAGGAGAATTGCTTGAACCCAGAAGACCGAGGTTGCGGTGAGCTGAGATCGTGCCATTGCACTCCAGTCTGGGTAACAACAGTGAAACTCCGTCTCAAAAAAAAAATACCTTTCAGCCACATTTGAGCAAAAAGGGAGGTTTGGAAGGAGTGGCTGTCAAGCTAAGTCTACCAGGATGGAGTTCATTGTTAAGTTCAATTTTGGCTGTTCTATAGACATTACTATTATTGCAAAGTTCTGGGCCAGCATTACTCTGTTAGGAGTGGTACTTCTCTAAAAATTTAAAAAGTAACAGGTCTAAAGCTTAAAAAGAAAATAGGACTGGGCACGATGGCTCACACTTGTAATCCCAGCACTTTTTGGGGTCAAGGCGGGAGGACTGCTTGAACTCAGGAGTTTGAGACCAGCCTGGCCAAGATGATGAAACCCTGTCTCCACAAAAAATACAAAAATTAGCCAGATGCAGTGGCTCACGTCTATAATCCCAGCACTTTGGGAGGCCAAAGTGGACGGACCATGAGGTCAAGAGATTGAGACCATCCTGGCCAACATGGTAAAACCCCCATCTCTACTAAAAATACAAAAATAAGCTGAGCATGGTGGTACACCCCTATAATCCCAGCTACTTGGGAGACTGTTGGCCACTCTCTGCTTTAACTCAACTCAGTTATGACATAGTAGGTGGTAAAAACTAGGTAGGAGAATCATTTGAACCCAGAAGGCCGAGGTTGCAGTGAGTTGAGATGGTGCCACTGCACTCCAGCCTGGGCAACAGAGTGAGACTCCATCTCAAAAACAAAAAACAAAATACAAAAATTAGCCAGGTGTGGTGGTATATACCCAGCTACTCAGCAGGCTGAGGCAGGAGAATCACTTGAACCTGGGGGGCAGAGGTTGCAGTGAGCCAAGATGGTGCCCCTGCACTCCAGCCTGGGCAACAGAGCGAGACTCTGTCTCCAAAAATAACATAAATAAATAAATATATAGGAAAATAGGAAGTAATATTAATAGCAATATGATAATCTTGGTTTGCATATTAGTTCTGAGAGTCCCAGTGTAGTGGCTTATGCCTATAGTCTCTACACTCAGGGAGGCCAAGGTGGGTAGATTCCTTGCACCCAGGAGTGAGAGAGCAGACTGGGCAACTTGGCAAAACCTCATCTCTACAAAAACAAGTACAAAATTTCTCGGCCGGGCGCAGTGGCTCACACCTATAATCCCAGCACTTTGGGAGGCCTAGGTGGGTGGATCACAAGGTCAAGAGATCGAGACCATCCTGGTCAACATGGTGAAACCCCGTCTCTACTAAAAATACAAAAATTAGCTGAGCATGATGGTGCGCGCCTGTAGTCCCAGATACTTAGGAGGCTGAGGGAGGAGAATTGCTTGAACCCAGGAGGCGGAGGTTGCGGTGAGCTGAGATCGCGCCATTGCACTCCAGTCTGGGTAACAACAGCGAAACTCCGTCTCAAAAGAAAAAAAAATTTTCTCCAGGCATGGTGGTACATGCCTGCAGTCCCAGGCTACTGAGGAGGCTAAGGCAGGAGGATTGCTTGAGCCTGGGAAGTCAAGGCTGCAGTGAGCTGAGATGGTGCCACTGCATTCCAGCCTGGGCAACAGAGTGAGACCCTGTCTCAAAAAAAAAAAAAAAAAATTCTGAGACATGAACCTTGGCTTGAAGACAACCAACGGAATAAATCAAATGCCCATCGGGAGTTAGATGAGACCTATTGTAACCATGAGGCCTGCTTTATTTTTTGTATTTGAGTCTCAACTTCCCAGAGGAATGTATCCAAGTATAGGAAGTAGTATTAGGAATAGCAGTGACATTTATGAATATATAATATAGCTCAGTTTTTACCACCTACTATGCCGTAACTGAGTTGTTAAAGCAGAGAGTGGCCAACAGTTTTTGGGAGTTTTTGTTTTTCTGTGAGCACCAGTTCCATTAGGGATGTTGCCAAAGTCATCCACTCGGTGGGCTAAGGGATCTCTTTAGTGAGGTTCTGTCAAGTTCCAGCAGAAGCTACTGATTGTGAAATTTCAATTACACCATTATCCTGCCAAGTGAAAAAAAGGAGACATTGAAAGGGATAAGAGTCTCAAAATGATATGGAATCTTGTTCCAGTGTCTTTGGAAAAGCTATCTACAGTGTGAAACCATCAACTTCTTATCCTGGTTTGCAATTTAAATGTCTCTGATTATGGCACTGGGAAGTTTAGTGAACTTTCTATATGACCCATATATTAGACACAAGGCTTGTCCCTCAAAGTTCATCTAGTTTCAACTTATAGGGTTTCAGGAACAGAGCAGTGCCCATTTTTAATAATTTCATGGAAGAAAGTTGCATTGGAGGAATCTAGAATTCAGGAGCTAGTCCAGTGTATACGAGAACTCAAAAACAATGTACAGGGCTGCAGTCTAATAACAGATGTGCCATAGCTTTTTCTAGAAACAAAGTTTTCTCTCTTTTTTTTTTTTTTTTGAGACGGAGTTTTGCTCTTGTTACCCAGGCTGGAGTGCAATGGTGCGATCTTGGTTCACTGCAACCTCCGCCTCCTGGGTTCAAGCAATTCTCCTGC